GTGGAAATGAGCCTTCCGGTGTGTAGGATTTTGTACCACGGCTACGTGTAAAGCTCGAAACCACCCGTAAACTAGTACGCTAGAGCTGGGTGCAGCGATGCAATGCGGTCCTTTGCGTGCGCTATGAAGGGAACCTGCGATTGAAATCTCGCTCTCGTACTGGTAGAGCTCGTGTGTACACCAAGCTGGAATAGCACCCAGCTCTAGATAGCCACTGGTCAAAGGAGCCCAAGCACGGGAGCAATTCGAAACCCTGTGTTCATCCTGGGTACCGGTACTATGGTACGTACAGCTCTTGCCAGGCTTCAACATATCATATGTGGCTTGGGCTAGGCAAGCACCAAGAAGAGAACATATGAAAGAAAACGGGGCTGGCTACCTACCTACAGCAGTGACACCAACGGCTAGCAGTACGATTTCTATAATAAGCTAGTTCTCTAATAACGGTAGCTACAGACAGTACAATCATGTCAGTACCCTAGCATTGAAAGGGCCGGCCTCAGTTTGGTGGAAACAAAAGCTTGTTGGTCAGGTACACATGCATCTGCATGACATCGCCAGCCTTGACCAGAATATCTTGTTGAACTCGCTGCATTCCAGGGATGCTCGTCTGAATATAAACTTCTGCATCATTATCCAGGTGGCCTGCAGTCTCCACCTCAAAACTGTGGACCCATTTCATCGGAATTGACTTGTATTGGACTTTGTTTCCACTGAGACCTTGTACATCGACCCTAAGGAGTCGAAGAGTTGTGTAGACGAACATGTCACGGCCGTGTTTGTTTGTGTAGCTGGTTCACGGTCTGTGTATGAGAATTGGAGGGCACTGTGGAGCTGGGAAGACACAACGTCGTCTTGTGGAGCCAGGGTTAAAGGGGGCTCGTGGAGCCTTCGGATACCATACGACCGGGAGAAGAGGGGGTTTGTCCCCAACAAGATCGAGGACAAGAATTTTTGCAGCATGACAATGTCGACTTTGCCCTTGCGAAAGTCCAGACTAAGCTTTTGCAAATCCCAGAGATTGCGGGTGTACAGCTTGATCTCAGAATCTCGGTCCCAGCTACCCGCAGACTCCGCAGAGAATCCACGAATACTTTTGTAAGGGATGCTCTTGTACTCCAGACTCCAGGATTGCGAGGGGAAAGGGTGGCATCACGACCCACCTTGAACGCCAGGACAATGTTCTCGTTGTCCAACAGCACGGGTATTTCTGTGTGAAGAATAGCATTGAGTTCTGTAGGGTCTATCGCCCGTTGATCATCACCCATCTTGGACATGAACTTGTCAAACCCCTTCTCTGAGTCGGACGTGTTGCTGATGTTGGGGTGGAGAGGCACCAGATCCTGAAGAGCATCATGGGCATGTAGGCATCGTTTGGAGATGTACTGCTTGACAGCAATAATGTCAACCAAATCCTTGTTAAAATCCAAATCCCACATGGCCACCCGTTGTTGTGGGGAGATGGCCATGTGGGATTTGGATTTTAACAAGGATTTGGTTGACATTATTGCTGTCAAGCAGTACATCTCCAAACGATGCCTACATGCCCATGATGCTCTTCAGGATCTGGTGCCTCTCCACCCCAACATCAGCAACACGTCCGACTCAGAGAAGGGGTTTGACAAGTTCATGTCCAAGATGGGTGATGATCAACGGGCGATAGACCCTACAGAACTCAATGCTATTCTTCACACAGAAATACCCGTGCTGTTGGACAACGAGAACATTGTCCTGGCGTTCAAGGTGGGTCGTGATGCCACCCTTTTCACGAATCTTCGTGTCATGATTATGGATGTGCAAGGCTGGAGTGGAAAAAAGGTGGAGTACAAGAGCATCCCTTACAAAAGTATTCGTGGATTCTCTGCGGAGTCTGCGGGTAGCTGGGACCGAGATTCTGAGATCAAGCTGTACACCCGCAATCTCTGGAGTTTGAAAAAGATTAGTTTGGACTTTCGAAAGGGCAAAAGATGACCATTGGTCATGCTGGCAAAATTCTTGTCCTCGATCTTGTTGGGGACAAAAGAAGATGCTGCTCGATACTTTGAAACCTCGGGGTCGTTTGGTTCATTGGAACCGAAGGCTCCAGATATGGACAGCTTTACATCGTGGCTCACCAGCAACTCGGTGGAGATTGATGCCGACGTTGTGTCTCACCAGCTCCACAGTGACCCTTCCATTCTCTTGGATGACGAGCGCGTGGAAAGAGCTTACAAGTGTGGCCGTGACATGTTCGTCTACACAACTCTTCGACTCCTTAGGGTCGATGTACAAGGTCTCAGTGGAAACAAAGTCCAATACAAGTCAATTCCGATGAAATGGGTCCACAGTTTTGAGGTGGAGACTGCAGGCCACCTGGATAATGATGCAGAAGTTTATATTCAGACGAGCATCCCTGGAATGCAGCGAGTTCAACAAGATATTCTGGTCAAGGCTGGCGATGTCATGCAGATGCATGTGTACCTGACCAACAAGCTTTTGTTTCCACCAAACTGAGGCCGGCCCTTTCAATGCTAGGGTACTGACATGATTGTACTGTCTGTAGCTACCGTTATTAGAGAACTAGCTTATTATAGAAATCGTACTGCTAGCCGTTGGTGTCACTGCTGTAGGTAGGTAGCCAGCCCCGTTTTCTTTCATATGTTCTCTTCTTGGTGCTTGCCTAGCCCAAGCCACATATGATATGTTGAAGCCTGGCAAGAGCTGTACGTACCATAGTACCGGTACCAGGTATGAACACAGGGTTTCGAATTGCTCCCGTGCTTGGGCTCCTTTGACCAGTGGCTATCTAGAGCTGGGTGCTATTCCAGCTTGGTGTACACACGAGCTCTACCAGTACGAGAGCGAGATTTCAATCGCAGGTTCCCTTCATAGCGCACGCAAAGGACCGCATTGCATCGCTGCACCCAGCTCTAGCGTACTAGTTTACGGGTGGTTTCGAGCTTTACACGTAGCCGTGGTACAAAATCCTACACACCGGAAGGCTCATTTCCACCGTTGAAATTGGGGTGTAAAATCCCTAAAGGAAATCTTAGTGGGTTAACAGAGATGAGTCTTATTTGCTAGTGATTAAGTCTAAATCGATCCCATATCTTAGTGAATCTGATTCTTCAGCCTTCCCACAAATAAGACGAACAACAAATAGAAGATCGACAATGAAGGAAAACGACGGCTTTTTCGAAGCCCTTCGAGGGCATCTGGAGCTATTTGCAAACCTACGCAGGGAGCAGTCTTAGCATTAGGTTCACCATACTCCGACGCCTGAATAGCGGCTTTGAGCTTGGACCTTGTTTCGGCATCCAAATTGCCCATGTTGTTGGTGACAGCTCTTGCCATTTGACACGCTGCCACGCCAAGAGCTGTGTCTTTTACTTGCACGTCCTCCGACTTGAGATCCGCGAGTTCCTTCTCTTCCTCTTCTGTCCACTTGTTGACAGGGAGTGGTTCTTGGGTCATTCGAACTGCCGCAATGAGATCTGCTTTCCTGGAAGGCAAGGGAGTGATTTTCTTCCATTTCGCTAGAATCTTCAATTCCGCGACAACAAAACCTCTTTCATCGGCTTGAAGCTCTCCCTTCTGTTGTATCAAGGCCTTGGAAGTAAGCTCAGCCTCATGTGCAGTCCCCAGGCTTGAGGCTTTGACCTTCTTTCTCTTTCAGCGGGGATCGTCGGTATTCATGTGTCTCCCTCCCGTGGCATAAATCATCTGGCCAGCAGTCTTTGCCTCCTTGATTGCCTTGATGCGTTCCTTCGAATGAGGTTGCGTCACAGCCACGAAGGTTGTTCGCTTGGGAGCATTCCTTTTCAACTTGTCGCCATCCATTCCGAATGCATGGAGAAGGTCACAGAACAAATGATTCATCTCTTCAATTCGCTTGAGTTTCTCTACCTCTGGATCTTCCTTTTCACCACCGACAAGCGCCTACTGATGCAGCTCGATCATCATGGAACTTCATGTCGAGACTCGCCAAAAACAAGGGATCTCGTGTGAGGGGAACAGCCCGCATTTCCTCCAGACGGACAAATTCCTTCCAATACTGAACGCTGCTGAAAAGGAATCCCTTAACTGGACATTTGTTGATGGGCATTGACCACCGAACACAAGAAGAGGTAAGTCAGACACTTGCAGAGTTTTCCCAATGTCAAATCTCGCTTGTGAAATTGATCTCACGGTTTTCACGAAAAGAACTCTTGTAGATCCCATAATTTTGATCAGTCTCCTGGGTGATGCTGGTTGAATTCGGCACGCCTGGAGTGATTGTAAACTCCTTGCAGTCGGAGATCAGCTTGCATCTCCAGGTTCATCCTTCCTGGGCCGCTGTCAGCCTTCAGAAGCACTCTCTTCAAAGGTGTGTCTTCAACATCCGGATAGAGAGGAAGAATGGAATTCTTCATATATTTGTCCAACTCAACCGCGTTCATTCCTGCTCTTTCATTCATTCCGAAGGTACAAGGCATCGCTCTTCTCTCTTGTAATCCCCACTTGCCAATGACATCTTGGTATGCTGGAACCAGATACACAGATGCCAATTCCTCTCTCTCTCTCTCTCTGCACAGTGGCCAAATCTTCAACTGGAAATGAGGTGGCAACGGATCGCCAGATGCTGTGCTCCCACAGATCACCGTGCATGAGTAGCCACTCTTATTCACTGCGGTTCCACCACCTGCAATGTCAGGGCACATGAAGATGAGCGATGGTCTACCGCCCCTACTTCCAGTAGTGTCATCAAGGGAACCATCAGTTTCGTCAAAGTTGATGATTCGGTCGAGTTGGCCATCAAAGAACACAAGTTCTCCAGTTGCACGGCCACTGGAATCATGTTTCGGATCATCAGGACTTAGCTCTCTGGCAAAGCCCAACTCAACCAACGTGTCTTTCCAACTGTTCGAACCAGTAGTTTGAGGTGTAGTGAGTTGTCCAGGTTGCAGCCTTCTGTGTTCCATTACATTCGCCTTTTGATGCTCGAACTCATCGGCTGTTTCCTTTTTCAACTTCAACGTGAGACCATCCCCACTTTTGTCATATCCAGCCTTGTTGACAGTACAGTTTACTAGGGAACATTGCTGGTGGATTGTTCTGTTGCTTGTTCAAGTTTCAGGTATGTCGTGTAAGTTCCAGCGAGTGCTTTGTAAATCCGGGGTGGAAAGTCACCAACTGGACCTCGCTTCAAAGGTGATACTCCCACGAGCCCTTCCCTCACATAGCGAGCTGCTGTTTTGGCATTGACATTGGAGTTGAGCTGGGCATTTATTTCAAAGCAAATTACAGGATACCTCTTCTTGTCTTTTGTGCCCTTGGGCAAACCTGTTGCTCTTCACTATTTCTTGTGTATAAGTTTCATTGCTTGTTTTGTCTCTCTTTTTTATGGGAAGCGGCTGCAGCAGTGTGCCCTCATCACTTCCTTGGCTGTTCTTCGGTACCTTTTCTTTGTCTCCTTTGGTCCACTGGCAGACAGATAATGAGGCGACGGCCAGTGCTGCATCAAGTCGCTGTTTCTCTGTGACCTCTGAAGATGATCGGCGACTGCCTGTGGATGTGGAATCTTTAGATCCACTGTCACTTGGACCTGTGACTGTCGACACATCAGAACTGGAGGTAGCAACAATCTGCAATATTCGAGATGGTGGTGTCTGTTTCTGGGCCTCTTTCTGGAGCTTCATGGCTCTGCGTCGACAGCGCTGATACAGTGTCATGTTCCTGCGGTCTGGTGTTCTGATTCCAACCAGAGAAAGGCTTGTGCCACTTTGACCTTGCCATCTGACACTGCGACAATGCCAGAGGCTTGCTCGAGTAGTTTGTTGACGTTGTATACGTCCTCCGACATCGTACTGAAGCGATTGCAAGGGTGTTGAGCCACTTTTGGTTGGTGAAAACAGAAGCAACAACACACTTTACAGATGGTGGACGAAATTGCCGAAAAGCAACAACAACACGATAGCTAGCAATAATGGTCGTTTTCGACTATTCAGAAAGGCGATACACTCATTCCGCTTGTTATCCCCTCATCTATAGTGCTATTACTACTAAGTCCGTGTATAATATTGAGGGTGTTACTAGTTTCTTAGTCTCCGAAATGCCGTCGGCATCATCATTGTCAGCTTGTTTTCTGTCGATCAGAAAAGATGTAAAATTTCGATGGCTCAGCACTATCCTTAAACTAGTACCAGTACACCAGTACGGGTGTGCTAGCTAGCCAGCTCCACTGGATTGTCACTCGTGCAGTAACCGAGAACTTTTGAGGAATTCCTGAGCCGTTCAAGAACGTCAAAGAGTGGGTCTTGCGGGAGTTTCGAACACAGATGAAGCCATATTTCGGAAGGTTTCCACCCAAGCCGCGATCCACAATCCACAGCATGAAAAGTCGAAAGTGGCACTTCCATGTCATAAAAGCTTCTCTCAGCTCCCAAGAAGACAGCGATCAAACGAGAACCCGAAGATCCTTGCACGCGTACTGGGAAGTGCCTTCAAGCACCACCACCCGAGACCAAACATCGACCATCCACCTTTTCGATGACTCAAAAATCTCCTTCATTCCACCCCGCAACTGAAGAAGCAACCAACTCGACCATGCAAAACTTTGATGATGTGGACGAAGTCGACGTTGACGCCCTCATGGAGGCCATGGAGGCAGAGGCCGTCTCCAAGAAAGCTCCCGAGCCTGCAGTCTCCAAATCTGTGAGGTCTGAAGAAGTGCCGGTTGCCAAGGCACAGGCTGTGGGGTTGTATGACAGCGCCAAGAAGTCTCATGAAGATGACATGCCTCATACCGCTGGCCATCACACCGCCGACCCCTTTGCTCCACGTGAGGGTAAAACTTTGGTGTGGCGAGATGTCAACATGACCTTGGTACGTTCGTTGGGTCTGTCTATGTCTTGAAGCTGACTCTAGAATTTTCTTTTTTAAAGAGAGACTAACGCACACATACGCATCTACTCTATGACTACTCTTTGTATAGGCGGCCAAAGGTAGTGATCCAGATCGCAAGTTGTTGGACACTGTGTGGGGAGAAGTTCCCAAGAAGATGACAACTGCCATTATGGGGCCATCCGGTGCAGGTGCGACAGTCTTCGCAGGAAGAAAGCAAAAAGTACTGATATCGCGCACCCCGTGACGCTAACAATCTCCATTGTGTTTTTAAAATCCATTCAGGCAAAACATCGCTGTTGAATATCCTCGCTGGAAGAGCCCAATCCCATGGTAAAATCAAAATTTCCTCGGATATCCGCTTGGATAACTTCGTGGTGGATCCTACAAAAATTGAAGTTCGTCGAAACATTGCCTTTGTCGCCCAGGATGACAGTTTGCAAGTCACATCCACTCCTCGAGAGTCAATCTACTTTAGTGCCAAATTGAGATTGCCCAAATCTACCACGGAAGAGCAGCTTCGGCGCCTCACGAATCGCATGTTGGACGAGCTAGGTCTTGCAGACTGTGCCGATACCGTGGTGGGAGGTGAGATACAACAATAGTTACATTACTCATATATCTGTGCGTGTTTCGCTGGCATTCGTCTCATCCCTGATTTTGTCTTTTCCTGTTTTCATTATAATAAATTAGGTGCTTTGATCAAGGGTATCTCTGGGGGTCAACGCAAACGTACTTCGGTTGGTGTGGAGCTTGTCACCAAGCCAGCACTAGTTTTTCTTGACGAGCCCACATCGGTAAGTGATCCTTTGGCCCGATTTTGTTTGTTTGTCATTACGTCACGGTGCCCTCACATGATGCAATCGTCTCCAGGGACTGGATAGTTTCAGCGCTGTGCAGTTGTGCCAGGTGCTCAAAAAGGTGGCCAATGCCGGTGCTTCCGTTCTGTTTACCATTCACCAACCCTCGAGTGAAATCTTTAACAGTTTTGATAGTCTGATTTTGATGAACATGGGTCGCGTCATGTACCAAGGACCCACACAGTCGGTCCCCGAGTACTTTGGAGACCGAGGACACCCCAATCCACCTCACTACAACCCGGCCGACTGGATCATGAATGTGGCGCAAAGCGTTGCCATTGAACAGCTCGACAAAGATGGATTCTTTCCCAAAGACGATAGGCAGGTGGGCGATGCCTTTACTGAGGCTGTGGATGGAAAAGATGCCTTGGGGATCACCATTACAAGCCGCGACGCCGCTCAAGACGAGGATGATACGCCTGTGGGACTCGACGTCCAGATTGGAATGTTGTTCAGCAGAGAGATGCGCAACCTGAGGCGTGACACCATGGCAGTGGGGGCTCGTATTGGTTTGACGTCCTTCTTGTCCTTGTTGGTCGGGATTATCTTCTTGGATGTCGGAGAACAAGATTCGTCAGTCAACGAATATCGTCAATCTCAGTTTGGAGCCCTGGTGATGGTCCTCATGATGGTGAGTTAACGTGGCAAATGGACTGCACGAATGCAACGTAACACATCATCGTCGTGCTGATGTAGAGTACTAACGTGTTCCTTTCTGCGAAACACAGTCCATGTTTGGAACTGCTCAACCTGCTCTCTTGGCCTTCCCTGAAGAACGCCCCGTCTTTTTGCGCGAATACTCTACCAACCATTACGGTGTCTTGCCCTACTTCATGTCTCGCTTGACCATCGAATTGGTTTTGACCGCCCTCCAGATTTTGGTCCAAGTCCTCATCACCTACTTTATGGTTGGTTTCCAATCCAACTTCCTATTCTTTTACCTCACTGTTTATGCCTTGGCGATGAGTAGCACAGCGTTGGCCGTCATGCTTGGTACGTGAATTGAACGAAAAGATGGACAAAAACGTTTATTTCCCTGTTCTCAACCATTCATCTCTTCTGTTTACAGGTTGTGCTGTAGAAGATCCCAAGCTGGGTCAAGAAATGCTCCCGCTTCTTTTCGTCCCACAGATGCTCTTTTCTGGGTTCTTTGTGGTCCCAGACTTGATCCCTGTGTGGTTACGATGGGCCCAATACCTCTGTTCTTTGACTTATGCCGTCCGTATTGCGGCGGTAGAGGAGTTCAACAGGGATGACTGTAAAGAGTGCCAGCACTTTTTGGATGTCATCAATGCGGACCCTGATGAAGTTTGGTGGTACTGGTTGGTCCTTGTAGCCCTCTTCATTGCCTTCCGTCTTTTTGGTTTGTTTATTTTGAGACAAAAGGCCGAGAAGTTCTACTAAGGGCCAAGATGCAGCAATCCACCATTGCCTCTATCCTCCTTCCTTCTGATGTTTTACGTGTACATGACCAAAAAGAAACAACTACTATCGATGCATTACAATAATTCAAATCGTTTTTACATGTATCAAAATTGAATCAATCGACTGTTGCCAGACCGTGTTTGCTTCGTTGTTTACGCAATGCAATCCTGCAAGAAGCGAGTAGCATATTCCTCTACGAACGGCAGTCCTTTCTCGGCAACCCGACCCCCACTTCCAGCCTTTTCCGAGTTGGCCACAAGCACTTCGTGAGCCATGGGAGCATACCACGTGCAAGGTGTGACTGGATCAGATCGTGCATATTTCTGGCACAACTGTGCCGCAGTCCAGGAGGAATGTGTCGAGGTTTCGGACGATAGTGACGATCTTCCTTTGCAACACAGTGGTGGTAGCTGGATGGAAGGAAGTTCGGAGCGAATGTCACAAAACACCTTTGTCCAACCGAGCGCATCCAGCTGCTCGCAATGATGTCGCATCCATTGATCCTTCTTGGACCTGCTACTACTAGCTGATCGCGGTTGTGGTTGTTGTTTCTCGGACCTTGTTTGCCTTGGCACCGTCGACAGGGCGTGAACGGCGAATGGAAAATTGTCTGTGAATGACGGTATTGTTTGATGCGGAGAATCGGAATCGGGAGCAATGAAAGCAGCTGTGCCCGTGGCAACTCGAAAGTCGGTTCGGAACGAATTGGCATAAGCAATGCGCTTTTGAAACTTTCCCAGAGGTTGCAAGTATTTGTCCTCCGAAGCAAGAGTTTCAATGACCTTATTCGTTTTGTGTCGCATCAAGTCCTTCCCGGTTTGTCCCAAGATCGCGACGAGGAAGCGTTCCAGTATGTAGAGAACAGGTTTTGGCAGTTCCATGTGCATGGCATCTTTGAAACCAAGATGAGGCGTATTGGTGGTACAAAATATTTTGGGTACCACAGTGACCATGGAGGAATTTTTGGTGTCTTGGAGTGGCCAGGACCACTGGATATGCGGCAATGCCGCCCTGGCAACGACACCCCCCAAACTGTTGCCAATTATTGACAAGCTCACAGTCCTCGTCTCGCGAGTTCCCTTGTTGGCGGCGATGTGACCCAGCAACAGATTGACTTCTGTAGCCAATCGTTCGCCACACAGCAAAATGCCGTCCATAGACTTTTTCTCGAGGTTAAAGGTGGACCTGTGAACGACAACTCTGCCAGTAGCATCTTTTTTGTTTTCTTCCTGAGCAAGCTTCACAAGAACTAGACGTGTCTTTTCCATGCTAGTCGGAGGAGCCAAAAGCCCGGGAACCAACACAATCAAATGGACCGTGTGGCACTCATTTGGTAAATTTTCTAATTCCTCGACCCTTTCTGGGTCGATATTACCGAGGACTGCCTCTTCATCATTTCCTTTCCAAAGAAGCATGGTAGCGCCACCTAGCAAGACGGCAAGTAAACCAACAAAGAAAGCCCAGAGGGAGAGATCCCTGTCCTGCAAAACAGTGCTCATTGTTGTGTTTCAGATGACATAGATACCGGTACAAGGCTATCCTTTCGCCCTTGTTGACTCGACTCGTCACTCATTATTTCCGGAATACCATCGCCAAAAATGAGGAATGGAGGTGACATCTTTTCGTTGTTTTCATGAGCCAGCAAGGCGGATGATTTGGCGGAACACTTCCAAGGGATCTTTTGCTTTTGTGGTGGGCGGGCCTTTGGACAAAGCTGCATCTTTCCCCACGGATCTTCCGCAAACGAGCATCACCCACACTCACAGCGTTATCAGTGAATTGGCGGAACCTTGCTTTAGCTTGCAAAAAGACAGTGCCACAAAACAGCTCATCGAAACTCAAAACTGGTATTAGTATCCTCTTGAGCTCCATCGCGAGCACCACAAGCTAAAATCCTAAATCAGTTTTCTCACTTTGAAAAAACATCACCATGGGCAACCACAGGCGTGAAATTTCCATCAACGATATCGATGAGGCCCAAGCCAGCGGTATTTTGGAAGGAGTTATCAAGGAGTCTCGTGTGTTCCTTGGCGGAGCAGCCATTGGCAAGGGTCTCAAGAAGGCTGCCAATTACTACTTGAATAACAACCTCCGTCTCATGGAAACTCCATCTCATTTTCAACTCGATGGAGCCAAAGATTTGGAAGTAAACGCCGACAAAGTACCCTTGGAGAATTCATTCTATGTCGTTGACATTGGAGTGGTGGTCAGCCAAGTCTTCCAGTGGCGCAAATTCTTTCCACGGTGAGCCAAGGAAACTAATTGAGTGCAGCGCCCATTAGTACAACGGAACGGAATCGAATCATGTTGGCAGCATGCCCCTAAATTCTTTTTGTGTTTTTTCCCTGCGTCTCCCAGTGTCCAACCATTCATGGCCGTCAAATGCAACCCAGATCCCGTAATTATCAAGACGCTGGCTGTCTTGGGGTGCAACTTTGACTGTGCTTCGGCCAACGAAATTCGATTGGTCCATCAATGCACTCGAAATTTGCCACACCAACCGGAAATCATCTTTGCCAACCCCTGCAAACCCAGATCTCACATTTTGGAAGCTGTTTGCAAGGGAATTCGACGCATGACGTTTGATAATGAAGCCGAAGTGGAAAAGTGCGCCTCCATTTCCAAAAAGATTGAGTTGGTCCTTCGCATCATCACAGACGATAGAGGATCTCAGTGTCGCCTCAGTTCCAAGTTTGGAGCTCCTCCCATCAAGTGGCGACCTCTCTTGGCAGCAGCCAAGAAACGTGGACTCCAAGTGGTGGGCGTTTCCTTTCACGTTGGAAGTGGATGCAGGGATGCCACCAGGTATCACGAGGCTTTGAAGGATGCTCGTTCGATTTTTGACATGGCCGAGAAGGAGTTCGGTATGAAAATGCATTTGTTGGACATTGGAGGAGGGTAAGTACCACTGCGTATTCCTTCACATGTTCTATCATTTCCGTCTGACAGTGAGATTTGTAACGTTCAACCCAAAACTACAGGTTTCCAGGTGAAACCCACTCTATCTGGAACCCAGCCATAGAGCTCGACGACGAAGACGCTGATAAAGTGGAAGGAAAGACCGCGGAGGAGGCCGAGAATGTCGACGAAAGCAACGACCGTTTCATGTTCTTTACGGAGATTGCGGAACAAGTTGCCCCAGTCATTGACCAACTCTTCCCTCCAGAGCAGGGAGTTCATGTGATTGGTGAACCTGGTCGCTACCTCGTCGCGGCCAGTTCTACCCTCTGTTGCTCTGTGACTTCTTGCCGAAACAACCAGATGGACGAGTCCTTCAAACCAGAACAGGTGGATGACAAACAAATGGCTGCACAGCTCCATGGCATGTCCCGAAAACAGGAACAGGCACTTGTACGTGGACTTTCCCTTGGTCGGGGTGATACCGAAGCAATCCTCACTACCATTCAAGAAGAGCTCGCGGATTATTCAAAGCTATACGCGAACCAGCAGTTGGCCAATCAGGAAGTGACTCTCTACAACGACAGCATTGATCTCTACTCGTCAGACTACGAAAACGCCCTTGATTTGCTCGGTCCTCCAAGTGAAAACCAGCGTGATATCGGCCGCCACACAGTTGAGGGTATGAACTATACCCTTGTGACTGGTTCACTCACCTCTCCAGATGCACCAGATGGTCTCATTACCCTCGCCGCCGCGGGAGAAGCTGCTGTCAATGGCCTCGTCATGCAAGCGGTGGCCGATTCTGCGCCAATGCAGGACGATTTCACCTACTATGTAAACGATGGAGTCTACGGAGCGTTCAACAACATCATGTTTGACCACGCCATCCCTCGCCCTCGCGTCCTCAACAAGACCGGGCACAACATCACGAGTGACACCAATGAGGACGGATTTCGCACATTGGAAATGCCTCAAGGCGATCTATCATCGGACGATGGCAAGTCTCCCCAGCTCTACTCTTCCACGGTCTTTGGACCCACTTGTGACTCCATCGATGTGATAGCCCGCTCGGTACTATTACCAAAGTTGGCAATTGGCGAATTTCTCTACTTTGAAAACATGGGCGCCTACACTTCGGCCGCAGCAAGTACGTTTAATGGCTTCAACCCCAGTGAGAAGTTCTATGTTTGCAGTGTGCAACCTGAATATTTTGAATCGATGATTGCTGGCCCCGAATCCGATGTTTCTGGTGAGAAAGAAGGTGAGATTAAGGATAGCAGCTAGCTATACCCCAAAGTATTCCCCTTCCTTAAAATAGAATTAGTTGTTGGCGTTATAGGTGCCATTGAGAGCATTTACTCTACGCTTATGAGAGTTGATTTGGCTGTGTGGGACCAGTATTAAAGACTGGGCATGGACTATGGGTCCTGGTGTGGTACCGGTACCTGGATTTTATGTCCAGAGTTCTGCCCTGGAATTGATACAAGCATCAGGTGTTGGTCCTGGAGTGGGACTACGATTGGGCCCAGGAGAGGGCTCAATTTATTTGAGGTCCTCAGGTGGGACCAACAGTGGGGCCTGCAGATGGATCAAGAGAATGTCCTGGTGTAGGGCATACCTGGAGCGAGCTGGTCGAGACCAAGGCTCGTAAAGCAACAAGCACTCTAGAGCTAGCTACGGTATGCATAGCTACAACCGTAGCAAGTCGGCATGGATCCAGCATTACATGTACATGTACAAACATCACGAGCGCGAGAGTTATTAATAGTTGTCCCCGTCACCCGTTCCAAGTATGAAACGGGACTGTTTGTTTTCGTTTCGTCAGCGTCCTCTCATATGGTAAACGAGCCAGTCATAGTTCTCTAAGTCTTCGAATCCTAGGAATCTGACCTTCGTAGTCTACCAGGCAGAGTTCGCTGGTCGAAAGGCAACATGCATGCATGGCAGCAGCCAAAAACTTGGAGGTCTCCTTCCTTCTCAAAACAGTTTCCGCGTTGACGTTCCCACTTGTGGTTGTTAGTAGCTCGCTTGCTTGGGACGACAGCGCCGCAGTGGAAGCGAAAGCAAGCAAAAGGAGTACCGCAGAAGACCCGTTGCCTGTTGTGTGTGTATTAGAAATTTGGAGGGAGTCAAACCAATCTTTCGCAACGAGAAGAGCGGTTTTGAGGCATTCTCTGGAAAACTCTGGCCGTCATTGTCTATTGATACGGTAGAATCCGAACCGTGTGGGCAAGGCTGTCGATAGAAAGAACCATAGAGAGAGGTTGTCATAGACTCATCCTTCATAAATTGGAGCCGCTGCATAGTCCAAAACCGCTGCATCGTCCAAAGCCGCAGCAGAAGAGCAACAACAAGCCTTTCATTTTCCGTGATCGTCTCAAGTCCACTCGTGGGTGAGCAGCCAGAATCCGAATCCAACGCAAAGAGTCGTGCTATTTATACTGTGGAGCGACCGCGTATCTATCAACCACTCCCTTCCCTAAGGTATTTCTATCGACGAAAGAACTGAGGAACCATGGGTGTCGCCTGTTCAAAGCATGATGCCACGGCCCACGGAAGTAATCCCCACCAACACCCGTACAACGACCATCTCGGGGCAACGCAAGCCAACGGCGGTAGTTTGTCTAGCTGTATGGGTTGTTCAGGGATGGATCCTGCCGTCGATCCTCGAATGGATTCTTGTCGTGCGGATGCGATTGATCCGGTCATGTACGATTTGTGTCGCAAGTCCTTGAACATGACTCTGCATGACGAGGAAACCAAAAAGAAGGAACGACAGGAATCGGCACCACCAACGCCGTCGCAGTCGTCAGCGGCCGCCTCGTCGCATTCAAGCAGCAAACAGAAACACCATCGCCACCACCAGCAGCAACGGCAGCGTGTTGGACAATACCACCTACTCTACAAGAATCAAACCAAAGCTGCCGCTGCCGCGGCGACGTCCCCTACCACCCATTCGCAATCACAAGCCGCTGATGCCGCCGAAAATTCACTCGATGACATTAGTACCGTACCCACAATCAGTCCTTACAGTACCCGTCTCATTGTGCGTCGAAGACCCATCGCTGCCGCAGAAGAAGGAACTCATGGAACACACCTTTATGCTATTCGCTATCCACCCGATGATGTTGCCCCCACAAACAAAATTGGATCTGGCACTCCTTCGGAACCCACGCGTCTCCAAGAACAGGCACCGTCCAAACAACGGGAGCGCAAAAAAAGAGGAAGCGACCCCGCTACGGAACCCATTCCTGAACCACCTCGTCCCTCGCCCAATTCTGGCGCGCCTCTGCCAACGGAAGGATTGACCGATTTCTTTCAACCATCTCGCATGAAGCAGTCCAAAACCTCTCGACAGACGAGTAAGTGTCCTTTGAAACAGAAGCCCATCTTTGTAATTGCGGTCTCTTTCTTGTCGCTTTGAGGTGTTTGGCTCAAACGAGTTTTATTTGTTACCGCCGTGCTCTTTTTGCTTTTTCCACGATTTCTTTTTTTCACCCCCACTTTGTGATGCGATCCAAGCAGTCCAAGAATGGGTTACTGTTTCAGAAGAGCATTGTATTTATGTGGTGGACGTAGGCCTCACACCCGCTCAATGTGACAAGATTGTAGCCGTCACCGAGCAGGTTTGTCGAGGGCAATATGCAGCTTACACTTATGCCAAACAAACTCTGGGGTGCCGCGAATTCCCTGTCCTCGCTCAGGCTTGTGCGCCGCCGGTCCAATCCGTCGTCCAGGCCATTTTGGGATTGCCGTCGTCAAATGGAAAAGGACGGAAGGATGGATCTCCGCAACAAAACTTACAGCTGGACGATCGAGAACCGCACTTGGTCAAGTACGACGTGACCAAAAAGGAACGACAAAAATTGGACATGCACACTGACAAGAGTGAATGGACGTTTCTGATTGCACTTTCGAATGGATGCGGGTTGGACTATGACGGAGGCGGAACCTACTTTGAATGTTTGAATGCGACCATTCATGTCCAGCGAGGACACGCCCTGATTTTCCCTGGAAAGCTGCGGCACTGTGGACAGCGAATCACTCGGGGATTGCGCTACTTGTTGGTGGGATTCTTAGTGGACAAAGCTCACCTGGTGACGAGCAGCACAACCGCCGCTGCCGGGAGCAGCTCCGCAGGCACATCGGCTAGTGGTGTCATCAAGGGAGGAACCAGCGGCAAGGATAACGATACTGACGAGGATAACAAGAAAAGCAACAATAACGGCGGCAACTCGACCTCAGCCACCATGCCAGTCTCCGCAAAATCGTTGACTACTGGACTTCCCACGACCATCGCCAATGTCTAAGGAAGGGACGACAGGGGTGATCTTGAGTTTCTACCGGTCGGAGTCGAGTCTGTCGTTGATAGTTTGGTGGACCTGGCCCCTGCAGCGCGGCCTCCAACCGGAAGCTGGGGTTCCAATGAAGGACCGTGCGTCTTTTGCCTTTTTCAGTGGACGAATGGCAGCGAGATTTGCAAATACTCTTTTCAGGAGCGAGGATCGATTTGTTTCCACCTTCCCTCCTGCTGAAGATTACAAACGACAGAATGATACTTGCAACTCTCTATTGCTGTCACGGCAAACCAACAAAATGAAGAAGCTGGGAGATATCCAGATGCGACGCAACAGTCTCATTAGTCAAGATCACCGTATATTATCATTATCACACATAAGGACGGAATTGTAGGAAAATAATATTTACATATGCATAGATGCATCTGGTGTATGAAACCTTGTTTTTACGTGGCGTCTGTTGCACAAACGAGAACTATTCATCATTCCCCGCAGCGAAGGTAGTGTACCGCCATTTCATCCAGCGCTAGCTAGATTGCCACAGGATCAAAAGGCTTCGGTTGCTCTCATGCGTGTGCGTGCTTGGATTCTCGAGGTGAAACTCGCGTCCGCAGTTTGTGCGCTGAGGGGTGATGATCTCCTTGCTCGTTCTTCTGATGATGCCAGATACCTGTAAAATGGCTGAAATGCCCTTTTCCTTGGAACATATCCATAGTGTGATCCCACAACCAAGCCCACGAGGGACGGTTGGTGCGTTGAAGATTGTTGTGGTGTGCGGGGCGATCAAGTTCTCGCCTCGAGAGTCCAGCTCCACTGGACACTACTCCATTCATGACTGATACCACTTGATTCCATGCCTCGACTGCTTGACTCTGCCCTGCCCTGTGGTTTTTGGGTGAAACGAAAGCATGTCCGACTCCATCGTAGATTGTTACGGTGTTGCCAATATTTCGAGTATTCAGGGCACTTTCAAACCCTCTCGCTTCATCGGGCGTCGGTGCTCCATCGTCGGCACCATAAATGCCCAGCACCTGTGTTTCACGGATGCCTAGTTCTCCCCACAGATCATTATTATTTGGATCCTGCAATCCATCAATGTTGGCTCCGTAGAGTGTAATAGTTCCCGCCATGGCTCGTCGAATGGATAGATTCAATGCTTGGCTGCCACCGAAACAGAACCCAGGTCCACTGAAGACTCTGGTACTGTCAACATTTTGTACACTTCCTGTAAGATAGCTTATTGCAGCGTCGACATCTTGGTCCATGCGGTGTTGTGGCGTCGAGAGAGTAGTGGCAATGTTCCACGGAATATTGATTTCACTGGTCGCAATGTTGCGAAAGAGATCGGGTGCAATAACCACGTATCCTTGCCTTGCCAATAAATCCGCAAAGTAGACTGGTTCTTCTGACATACCATTCCATGCATGCAGTATGACAGCACCTGGGTACTTTTTCGTGGGATCATTCATGTAGTCTGGAGGCTTGGCCAAGTAAGCGTGCAATGTCTTGCCCTGCCCGTTATCGTACGAGACATTCGTAAAGTCTGTGGCTTGGCCTATCAACCCCAAGGGAATTAGACAACGAGCCAGAAATTGAAGCGCTTTGCTACAATCGAGGGACATGTTCCTGATATTGAGCTTTCAAAGGGGACAAGCAAGAGGAGATGACGATGAAGAGCTGAAGGCAGAAGGAAGGTCCCACAACATTTTGTGGCGGAACTTCCATGAAACTCGAAGAGACGAATGCACGAGCCTGGCTCGTTTTGTATTTAAGGATCAGCGACTAAAAGTAACTCCCTCCAGCTACTATTAATAGTACTGTAGCTACTACGTGGCTACTACTACCTGGACCGTCCGACGGTTTTCACTCAGGCTTTAAAAACGGGCACGACTGACGCATAATCCTGGTTCTCATAAGGGGTTGTTTAAGGGGATGTTGAAGCTTTAAAGGGTTGATTAAGGAGATGTTGAATATTTAAGGGGTTGTTGTTAAGGGGTTGTTTATTTAAGGGGATGTTCATTCGTGATAAGGGGTTGTTGTATGGTGTTTCAATGAAGGCTTAAGGGGTTGTTTAGAGGATATAAGGGGATGTTGTTAAGGGGTTGTTTATTAAAGGGGTTGTTTAAGGGGATGTTTAAGCTTTAAAGGGTTGTTTAAGGGGTTGTTTAAGGGGTTGTTCAAAAGATGTTGTCAGTCGTGGCAATTTGAAGATTTTTAAATCCTGAGTGAAAAGCGTCGGACGGTCCAGGTATGTAGCTAGTACGAAAGCTTTTCATCTTTGCTACACACACTCTTTGACGCCTCACAAGATCCAAGGCAGGATCGCGACCGACCGTAGACCGCACACTGACGCAAAAGATCAAAAGACAATCATTGGAGGGAGCTGACACGAAGCTGAATAGATCTTTGGAGCAACGACGTCCTGAATACTCATTATCGGCCAAGACCTGTTGCATTTGCCCGAAAAAGAATGAGCAATCGTTTTCTAGCATTGGCACTTTTGTTAGCCTTCAGGGGAGCTTACTCTTTCTCACCAACGAGACAGAGTGTTGCTCGCCTGCAGACAAGAAGGTTGGAGGTGTCTGGAAGATCAACTCTTATGCTGTTCGAAACAGAAGAATCTCAAGAGACGTCAGAATCAAATGGGGATGCAGTCAAGGCCTCGCTGGAAGAAAAAATGAAGAACTGGGAAGCTACCGAAGAAGAGGTCAAAGCTGCTACACTCGGCGGGGTCGTCCCTGAGCGAGCGGATTCGTTTGATTTGGGTCTATACGTGGCGTTTCCCTTCATGATCATTGGATGCTTGCTATTTTTGGCGTTTCCGTTACTTGCAGACAAAATTGATGTATCCAGTGTGGGGCCTCCGCCAACGAGCTAAGCTAACCTGAATTATTTTAGAATACGACTGCTATGCTTTGTGAAGAAAGATCTATTGGCGCAGTGTACTTATTTAGCACGGTGCATTTTCAGTTTGAATGCTGATTATCTATGAAGCTATTACCTCTTTGGGTATGTCGTCTACAAGCATCTCGTCGACGTCTGACATCTTCACAGGGATGCCCACGTGGAATACACTACCAACGTTTGGTGTGCTGGAACACGCAATGAACCCATCCAATTGATGACACAATGACACACAAATAAAGAGGCCCAGCCCCGTCCCTTGGAATGCTCGGTTGCTGCCTTTACTGGACTGCGTATAAGGCTTGAGCATTTCTGCCAGTTCACCAGGCTTCATGCCGCAACCATGGTCAGCAACCGATGCAAGGATCCACTTGCGATTGTCCTCCCCCTCAAGCTGAAGCACATTGCGTCTTGCATTCTCCACAGAGTCGAACAGATCGTCTTCAGTCATCGTGAAAACGGTCCCAGCATACGAAGTGGCAGTTGCCCCCCACTTGTCCACGGCTTGAATCATAGAGTCCAAAAGGTCAACGTGAATGTCGATCGTACCAGGTTCCGAAAATTTGATCCCATTGTTCACAATGCTGTATAAAAGAAGGATCAGATAGGGTAAAGAAAAAAGGATAAGATCAAAACGGGCATATGAGAAGACCACGATCGGCTCAGATGAAGGATACACGTATTCTTGCAACATATACTCACTTCGAAATGATCTGCATGAACTTCTTCTTGTCCGTCATCACTACCCGATCAGCGTGGTCCGCGTTTACGTTGCAATCCAGGGTGATCTTTTTGTCAGCAGCTACAGTCTGAAGATTCTCGATCGGATTCATCGCCAACGCTTTGACAGAAACCGGCTCCAACGTGAGACCCTTCTTAACATGCTTATCCTTACTGATGTTGAGGATGTCATTGAGCAGCCCAATCATGTGATTCCCAGTTGATAAAGCAGTGTTTATCATGTCTTGAATTTCTTCGTTTGACATGGCTTCAAAACTGTCATGCATGAGATTCAAACATCCCATCACGCCATGAAAGGGGGTCCGCTGCATAGACATGAAGAGATTTTTGATTTAGTACCAGGCAGAAACCTAAAAGAACGCGACAAACCGGCCCATATGCTTACCAACTCGTGGCTCATTTGTGCCTGTACATAAACAAGCGAGAACGTAGGAAGACTTTGGAGTGAGAAGACGCGAAGACGCAACCATTATACACCACCATCAGACAAAAAATTTCTTACGAAGAACAACGTGTTGTCTTCAGATCTTGCCAAAGCATTGTAGTACTTGATATTCGCCTCCTCAATGTCATTTTTCAAAAGCGTCGCCATTCTGTTGTGTGAATGGTCACAGATTCGGTCCATGAAAGTGGTGATTACGTGATGGTCGGTGGAAGTCCAGGCTCTCGTCTCTTTTCTCGCCTTTTCCATGAAAGTCTCGAAAGAGTGCCGAGGTGAAAGAATGCCTCCAATCCTGAGCTTTGGTTCGTCGGGGTTTCCAGCCCAGCGGACATCCTTCACCCGAAGCCCCCTTCCAATCATTATTTTCAGCAGGTTGTCTTGGTAATAGAATCAGCGATAGAAGCGAAGGAATTAAAGATCGTCAGCTGCCGCGCATTCCATCAGCTTCCAGGGTTTCCTTCGACTCCACTCCTCCCTACATTTGACCCCCCCCCCCTCTTACCTTGGAAGTACACGAAGCCCGAGGCGGGCGAGTCTACCGGAGTCAACCCAATGGCGGATACTTCCTCCCGAGTGTGAATTGAAACTATTTTGCGCTTGGGGTGTGACGCGAATCGTTCCCAGAAGCTGTCTTCTGTTGGTGCCAACGACTTATCTCCTAGGACAATTCGTTCTACTTCGTCCTTGAGAGGATCCGTAATGAGACCGCAAATGACATCAGCTTGAAACACCTTCAAGAGGTTATCGCCTGGCGACATCATTTTGGGAAGGATTGTGAGTTATTCAGAATGATTGGGAATCATTTCTAACTTGGCATCAGTTGCGATGAAACGTACTGTTGTTCAGCAGATTGAAAGCAACGCTGTGGCTTTGTTCCCATTTCATGAGGGTGTCCGAGAGTTCGATGACGCGGCTACTTTCTGTCTTTCTTATGATAGACTCGACTTTCACAGATACCATGGACATGATCTGAAAATGGGGAGACGATGGTGGGTGAGGGAACGTTTGCTGAAGACCTCCCTCATCATAGAATCAAAGGTATTTGTATGTCCTACCGATTCACAGGCTATCCTTTGATGGAGCGACGGTTTGAACGGCATTGTGTAGCCATGAAAGGCTAGCAGTCCCCACAACTCGTTTTCCACCACAATTGAAATGGCGAGAGAGGAAGTCACTCCCATATTCCTGTTAGTACAGCGGGGGTGGGGTGGGGGAAGGTTCAAAAAAGTTAATCGTAACGTGGAGAACGTAGACATTGACGGTGTCAAGGAACTGTTCGTCCGAGCAGGACGGGAGCTTACCTCAGATAAACAATATGAGGCTTTGAGACGGCCCTCATCCTGCAATTGGTCAGATCAATCTCGCATTTCCCACTGTCTACAATAGGATTGTATTCGGCGTTTACACTGTAGATATACCGTAATCCGTTTTTCTTGAAGAGCTGTCGGGCTGTCAGAGGAATATCGGAGGAAGGAAAGCGCATTCCCATGTAATTTGAATCAATGTGATCCTTTTTGATTTCGTAGATGACCTCTCCTGATAGGTCATCATTGAACTGGTACACCATGCCTCGATCGTAGTTCTCCAAAAGCTTGAAGACAGTCTCACAAGCCGTCTTTAGAATTTTCTCATCTGCATAGAATTCCATGACTCTCCCCAGGGAGATGAGCGTGTTATAGAAGTTTCCACCTCCTTCAAAGTCTTCGGTCTCTTCGATCTCAATGCAGATAATTGAGAAATCTTCCTTGCTGGACGAGAGACTGATTGCCCAGTTCTGGCTCCCATCGGGGTTGAAAAACCTAAAAGTGCGCTGCGACATGGCTTTCTTCATAGTTTCAATGGCATCTTGTGTACTCGAGTATAACTTGCTCGGAATACATTCCTGAAGCTTGTGCCCAAGCAAGGTCCGTGGGACAACCTCGCCCTCGCCTTGACCCCAGGATTCATTGCCTTGCTCCACTCGTCGCTCTTTTCTCGGAGGTTCCAACCTGTCCGACGGGGATGGCACTCCGTCCAGCTCTGGAGTGCCTGGAATTCGTATCCAGGGCACTTGACCTATTTTCATGTCGGCAGCCACAATCTCACCGTCTGAATGAGAGAAGAGCAAGACGTGACCGGCTCCATCTTGGATATTGCCCAACAGGTGCAACTTTTCCTTGTCACACTCGCTGAGTTCCTTTTCGGTAATTGAGCTCAGATCACTCTCCTCCAGCCCTCCAACCCCACTGCGACGTTTAGCAAACATTTCCATGCTGTCCTATCACGCTATCTTGGCCTCGGTATAGCTTGTTTGTTTGTTGATCGATGGTTCTACTAGCTAAGACAAGAGCTGGAAGGAGGTCAACAGTCAACAGCTGCTCTTATCGCAGATGTCAATCCGGAGGAGGCACAACGTGCGTGCGGCACTTGGATGGTGTTCCAAACCATTCGTTCCCTTGAGGGAAGTTCACCAAAATCCGTTCTCGAACTCAGGATTGACGGAGCGCTGGCTGGGATTCGTGGTTAACTCGACGTCTTCTTCTACGGTCGCACCGGTATTGGCACCGCTCATCTGAACGCGTGAACGGACTGGTACGAGTAGACCACCGTACCGGTACTGGCCAGTAGCTGGGCTGGTACGGTTGTGACTCATCATTCTTCTCGGAACTCTCAAAAACGGACTTCTTCGTGTCTTCATTCTGCTCTCATTCTCCTTAGAAAGAATTTTTACGTAATTACGCAGATAACGCGTTTGCTACTCATTCTAACCGTACCGGTACGGAAGGAATGGTCCAGAGCGTACAATTGCGGAGCGCCGTACGGTACTTCTAAAAAGTATTAGTACTGGTACGTGAATTGAAACAACGATGAGCTCAACGAGCAATTTTTTAAAGGCACTGGGACAACAAAACTTTCATATCTTATGGTTGCAAGGGCCCTTATTACTGGACTCAAAGCAAGCGTACACAGGACATGTACCAACGGGTGATGTATACTGGTAATGCCCATATCTCAGCCATCATTCAGCCTTTTCAAATAGTCTTGCTTGGATTGTTATCTAATCTTGTTGCAGAACTCAGAACTGTCTATTGTCTCGGTGTTTTAAATTGTACTTCTAGAACCATTTATTGCTGGGTCCGTAGCTTGAATGGCGGTACAGTATATATCACCCCGCAGGTCTAGTTTTTCAGCTTCACCTTTCCAAACAAACTGTTGGACCCTGTGCGCTACAGTACCTGGAACTTGCTACGAGTAGTTTGGAGAGTTACACGCTAGCTACTGTCAGCCTCAACAACCATCCGCTTGACAATGGAGGCTATGAAGCCTTTCGGTGGGGGCTTCTCCATGATCTCGTTCGTCCCACAAGCCCGTAAATGAGACGTTGCCTCGTCCGTCAAATCGGCCGTGTAGATTATTATGTACGCCGGCGGAAGACCTTTTTCAGCTTCGTAGCTACGTATCCTTCGCGTCGCCTCTGATCCATCTTCGTCCGGCATGTGATAGTCAATAAACAAGAGCGAGGGATGTCTTTCTTTGTACAAGGCAAACACAGGCAACCCTCCATCGGCAGTCAATACTTCAAGATGCCCCAAGTCGTGGTTTTTCAAGTCCAACTGCAACCCTCGCTTCAAAATCTTCACGTTGACAACGTTGTCGTCGCAAACCACAATAGGGCCACGGATTGAAATCGGGCGGTTCTGGATAGAAGCAGACAAGCCCGCATTCGCCTCATCGGGGTTTTCTGCATCGCTACCCTGCGATTCCTCAACCTGGACCGGGATTCCGATGTGAAATGCGGTTCCGTTGCCGTGCGCACTTGAACAGGACAGAAACCCGTTTAATTGCTGGCAGAGAGTGACACAAATGAAGAGCCCCAGCCCTGTCCCTTGGAATATTCTGTTGCTTCCTCTGCTCTCTTGGTTGTAAGGTTGAAACATTTCTGCAAGCTCGTTCGGACGTATCCCGCAACCAGTGTCTGCTACCATCAGAACCATCCACTTTTTCCCAGACTTGTCTTCGGCTGATCTAGATAGATGCGCCTTGACGTTTTCTACTGAATGAAACAGCTCGCCCTCTTCCATATTGCACACTGTCGATGTGTATCGTGATGAATCCTTGGCCCACTTTTCAACCGCATCCTTCATCGAGTCGCAAAGACTGAGCTGAACCTTGACAGTTTTTCCAGCAGAGAACTTTATTGCATTGTTGACGATGTTGGAGATGATCTGAAACAGTTTGGTCTTATCCGTGACGACAATGAGGTTGTTCTCTGGAGGTATGACTTCGCAAGTGAATTCAATGTGCTTGCTCAGTGCGAGCGACCGTAGCCCTTGAACTGCGTCATCAGCCAATTGGCTGTATCTCATCCGGTCGTCGGCAATCGCGTTGGAGAGGTGCCTGTTTTTGGAAAGGCTTAGAATGTCATTAAGAAGATTGATCATGTGGTTGCCCGAGGAAAGCGCCGTGTTAATCATGTCTTGAATCTCCTCGTCCGCCATTTCTACGAGGGAATCATTTAGGATGTTAAGGCAGCCCATTACTCCATGGAAAGGCGTGCGAATTTCGTGACTCATTTGAGCCTTGTTTGTTTTTCGACGTAAGCCACAAACAAAATTAGCTGCGAAAGCAAAATCACCAAAATTGCACCGCAAGAGAATTTCACTTACAAAAAACTCGCAGTTTTCCTTGGCTCTGTTGATTGCGTTGAAGTACTTCACGTTGGCGTCTTTGATCCCCGTCCTAAGCATCGTCATCATCCGCTTGTGAGAACGCTCGCAAACTCGACCCATGAACGCCTGAAATACATGGATATCAGATGCGGACCACGACCTAGATTCCTTCCTTGCCTTCTCCATGAACGTGTCAAAGGAGTTTCTCGGACAAAGGATTCCTCCGATTCTCAATTTTGGCTCGTCAGGATTGCCGGCCCAAATCACATCTTTCGAGCGCAGTCCCCGTCCCATCATGACCTGCACAAGTCCATCACGATAATAGGCAACGCCACTCGCCGGACAGTCCGTCATGGTCAGACCCATGTCCGTGATTGCTTTTCGCGTGTCGGTAGCGTAAACCTCCCTAGGCGATTTTGCGGCAAAATGCTCCCAGAGTACATCCCTTGGTACCAAGCTCTCATCGCCAACTACGACCGTTTGGGGATTCTCTTTGGCAGCATCATACACCCTTGCGACCAACACGTCTGCATCTAGAATGTGTAGCAAGGCGGCCCCTACGGTGCATAGTCCAATCGGTTAAGGTCATTTGATTCAGCACGAGCAAACGAGGGCAAGCGACTGGCAACCTACCTAAGTTGGAAATATTGCAGGCAACGTCTTCATTTGGATCCCACTTGATGAGTGCCTCTGACAATTCAATGACTCTAACGCTCTGTGCCTTTTTCATGATCGATTCCACCTTGACGGAAACCATCGAATTGATCTGTGACAACAATCAATAGGAATTGCACAGAATTAATGAGCACGTCGTCGTCAGCGAGGAAAACACACAATTCAGTAACAACAATACGGTGACTCACCGTTTCGCAAGCTATTCGTTGGTGCAAGGACGGCCTAAAGGGTCTCGAATACCCATGGAAGGCGAGGAGACCCCAAAGGTCCCCGTCCACAACAATAGCCACAGACAAGGAGCATACGATTCCCATGTTCTTGAGATAGACGAGATGCGGTTTGGAAACGGCTCTCATCCGACAGTGCGACAGGTCCATTTGTCCGTTTTCTTCGGCTGTGATGATTGGTATGTCTCTTGCATCCACGTTTTCAATATATCTCAGTCCGTTCTTGATGTAGAGTTTCCTCGCCGGAAGTGGAATGTCGGAAGCGGGAAAGCGCATTCCAATGTACGAGGTTGTGACCTTATCCTTTTTGATTTCATGTATGACTTCCCCGGAGTTGTCATCATTGAAGCGATAGACCATGCCTCGATCGTAGTGTTCGAGTAGCTTGAAAACAGTGTCACAGGCGTTTTTGATGACCTTTTCGTCTGCATAAAACTCCATAACTCTTCCTAACGACACCAGTGTATTGTAGAATTCGCCAGCGGCTTCCGTAGACTCAACCTCCTCTATTTCGATACATATATTTTCAAAAGCGCGTGTTGTGGTGGACAAGGATATTGCGTAAGCATCTTTTCTGTGTTCGTAGAAGAGGAACGTTCTCGTGGACTTGGCTTTCTTCATAGTCTCAACTTCATTGGTGATTTTGGTGTAGAGATCGAAAGGCACCCAGTCTTGCAGGGGGGTCCCTATTAAGGACTCTACATCTTTTTGTTGTCTTATTCGTTCTTGTTGATCTTGCTGGTCCTGAGAATGCTGTTGCTTTCGTGCTTGCTTAGTAGGTTGACGAGTTTGTTGTTGCTGTTGTGATGATGATTCTGCCACTGGCTGGTCTTGCGAGGGTGCGGATGATACTACTACCTTGTGGTTTCTAAAAGGTGGAGGTTTTTTCCGATTGTTTTCTGTCGCCGGAGCAGGTTCAGGGATTTCATCTTCCTCCTGACTAATGGCGCTCGACGGTCTCTTGTTACCGCCCCATCTCCTGACCCAGGGTATCCGACGGATCATGGAGTCACATGCCAATATCTTGGCCTCAGGGCTGGATATGAACATTGTGTGCCCTGCATTCCCTTGGACGTGGCCTATCAAATGGAGTTCCTCTCGATCACACTCGCTGAGCTCTCGATTGGATATCAATCGTTCGCGATCAGCGTTGTTGTCTTCTCATCGTCATCAGCCCAACCCATCAACTCGTCGTCGTCTCCTGCTGCTGCTTCTGCTGGTTGGCTATCGCCATTCAGCTTCTTGCTCGTCGTCGAAGCACTCATGGCAGCGGTAACCGATTGGCTCTATAGTAAACGAGCTAGCTACAACAGACTCTTTTGACAACGAAGAGCTGTCTACCAACAGCAAGCTAGCTAGACAGAGCCGCAGTACGATACTGGCAGCACAGACCAGATCGAGGCTTGGATTAGTAGGTGGCTTCGACGAGTGGAGGTGGCTGCGACGATGGATCTGCCGCGTCCTTGCTGGTGGTGCGGGGGTGAGCCAGCGTGTCTGTGTGCCATCGGTGTAACACCCCACTGTGTGGTCATGCCAGTAGTGTCTGCCACCTCAGTCATGCAGAAGGCCCTTTGCTCTTCGAATGTCGTTAGGGAACACACTGACGTGGTACAAAAAGAATCATTCTCGGTTCCCATCACTTACAGCAATGGACGAAATATATATTGCGAAAGGATGAGCTACCGTACAGAGATTTAAGCCTTTAGTATTGTGTGCTTAGATGTTCCACAGATGTGGTGTTTTAAATAAAGTTCGTGACAGCTTTTTGTCTCAGGGAGCAGTGAGAGTCGCAGCGATACCCATTGCATAATGGTGTGCTGAAAAAAGGCTTTTTAAAAAGACATTGTCATAATCAGAACTCCACATTACTCGAGTGAGTCACTACTCGATGAATCAATCGATTCGATTCAATGATTCGATTGATCATTCGATTAAAAAGAAATCAATCATTCGATGAAGATTGAATCGAATGAATCATTCGGTAGCCTGCGGGAAGAAAATCAATGCCTCGCACCCGCAGGTGCTTTTTTAGAGATGCAACCACTACTGCAAAGTACATGCACACATCACCGTTCTAAATCTGTTGGATCCCAAAACACTGTGCTAAAGACGCTGAGCTACAGTGTACTCTAGCTAGAGGGTGGCTAAAAGGCTTTGCTCAAACACCAAAACCGTCATCATCCGACTTGCTGCTTGGTCATGCAAAGATTGATAACGGGTTCTGCGTCTTTTTCAACATCGCTCCGCTTCAAGCGTCTTGGCGCACAGTGGCAAAAACAAGAGCGAACGGAAACCATTTTTAGTCTACAAGAGTTTCCTATTACAATGTAAATGTATCTGTCTTTCTGCACCTCGACACAGTGCTGTGATTCATGAATAAACGACAGGAGGAACTCAACATGGCAATACATGATAAGTCTTAGTTGCCTCTCTGCGTTGCTCTAACACAAGTGTTGGGTGATTGTCCTAGTCTCCTTGGAAGCACAGTATAGGTATACACTCATAAAATACCATCAATGTTCTCTTTTGGCGCCTTGATGGCCTTGAGGCTGCTCCTACGATCCATTTTTGGAGCGCGCTTCTCACTTTCGCTGATATAGCTGCCACACGCAGCCAGCAACATCTGCTTCTCTTGGTCAGCCTCGGCCCTGGACTTCCGTGCCTTTCTCCAAACCTTCTGCAGCTTCAGCTGAAGAGTTTCTCTAATCATAAAGATGCCTTCAAAATCTTTCATGTACGCCGAACGGATTCGTTGAATCTTGATCTTTTGCATCTCACGGATGCGAGCTTTGATCTCGGCCCCAGAGCACAGAGTGCCATTTGCTTCAGCCTCTTCGTTGTGTTTGGAGCACTCCTCTTGAAGGATCTCAATTCGTTTGCGAACCGAAATATTGTACTGCATGGGAGTTCTTCGCTTAGTGGGTCGTCTCCTCAGCTTTTCCTCCAGCAATCTAGCGAGCTTTTCCTCGTCAACCTTCTCTTCCCCCAAGGCTGCAGCCTTTCTGGCTTCAGCAGCAGCAATGCTGGCAGCAGCTGCAGCACGAATATCGTACTCTCTCGATTGTTCGTACTCGTCCAAGTCCAACTCATATCGACCGGAGGGATTCCAGCCAATGGATAAAGGAGGACCCACCACAACACAAGGATGATCTCCCAAGCACCTTGGATACTCTGTGCAGACAACAAAGAAGGTGTTGATAGTTAGTGAACCAACCAACGGAAGTATCACAACACAGTATCCCATTAACCCAGCTCACCTCTTATTTCTATCTTCGAGAAGGAGACACGTCTACCGGTAGCAGATTTCTCGCCTTGATTACCAACTGGCTTTGTCTCCTCTCCAGGTGCCATTGGCACGAGATCCTCCACATCAACAGCCACCGATTGGGAGCCAGAATCCAGGTCTTCATCAGCAATTGGCGGCTCCTCCACGTGCCCAGCTGTAAGATCTGGCTCTACCGCTTGGTCCATGAGCTCATCCACATCCACACCTGCAACCTCATCCACATCTACATCAACCGATTGCGAGCTCGGCTCTGGAGTAGATGGCAATGACTCTTCTGGACCGCCCGGCTGGGTGTTCGGCAGTTGGCGAACTTCCTCTGTTGGTTCCTCTGAAACAAGTCCTTCTTGGTCTTCTGATGTTGCAAGCTCTTGTGGCACTTGTTTTGTGGGCCCTTCAGAAACATCCAATGACTCTTCCAAGGCAGATGATTCCAACTGCCAAGAGTCATAAGTCTCCTGTTCTTGCTGCAAAACTTCAGGCTGGTCTTGCTCTGACGCAGCAGTTGGCGAGGAATGATCAAATCCGTCGTCTTCATTGGCACCCCCGCTAAATCCGTCCGAGGAATCACAACTGGACGGAGTCTCCGTGTGCTCGGTGTCGGCATCTTCCAGGCTTTGCTTTCCTGGCTGAGCAAGTGCATCGGGGATGTCTTCCAGCTCAAGTCTGCAACAACGCCCGCTGCCTTGTGTGGTAACCTGAGCTGGGTCTTCTGCCGCCTTCAGATCGCCCATTTTGGGTGTTGTGGTTGGTGCATCATTGGGCGCAAAGGCTTCGGAAGAGACCATGGTTTTTCAATGCCGCTTGCAATGTGTCGTACTTTTCCGCTTTTCTCTCCTTTGGAAACAAATAAAATGAGCTCGATTTTTGTAATCCTGAAGCACAACAGCCGACTCGACTCGACTCGACTCGAGAGCTGTCGGCTTCTCGTTGATGAGAGACAACAGGTTCGTGGTGAGGCGTCGGGGGATCACTTCAAAAATCGTGCCAGTCCGATTAGAGGCGCCGTTGGGGCCTAATTATCAAAAAAAGAGATTTCACAAAAATAAAATCACATGGCTTCAACTTGATATTTCAGTCAATTGTTTGTTGATAAAGCAAGGGAAGAAGCCAATTGTTTAATCAGGAAGTCCCGGAAGTGTGGCGGGCCACGATTTTTGGTGAAGCCGCACCCAAGTGTTACACAGATATAAAAACAAACCTATTAACAGCTCCGCTGCTTTGGTCCACAATCCAATCTTCTAACCGCAAAATAACCGGCCGGTTTTCGTCAACCACGTTGATAAGAGAAATTTTTTTGCTTCCTTGTACCGGTAGCCATGGGAGTCGAAAGCCGTTGCCGGAAAGAAGGATGGAACGGTCGTTGCATTCGTTCCAGAGTTCCTCTTGCGATATCGTACAGTCAAATAGCCTTCTGGCGCTCGCAAGAGCCGAGAATGTAGAAAGAGTATTATGGTACGACTGTAGTTGGTGCACGTAATAGCTTTCATGTTACTCGGTACGTTCGGTACGGTGAACATTGAATTTTGGGCTTCCGTACCGCTGGGATTGGCCAGGGCCTAATTGCTCCAATGTACCAGTAGTACCGGCTACGATGGCTGCACAAGCAACCCCGATTCATCTCAGCCAGGGTGCTGCGAGCAGGAGCACTATCGTTGGCAGCTTCTAAAGGTGAGTGAGTGCCAAGGAGGGAGGTTTGGATTGAGGGTGACTGGTTTGACGCGGGATGAGCCCATGATATCCATACCGCTGAGGACTTGGCTGAGGATGGGAAGGGAGCTCGTTCTAGCAACCAGGCATGTGTTTTCGAGATGTCGACCGGTTCAGGAACATTTTGCATGCCTCTGGCACCTAGCCAGGTTTCTGCACGATGGCTCGTCAATAGAGGTACAGACGGGCGCACCGGTGCAGAGAATGGTTAGTTGGTTAGATGACGCAAGAAAGCGCAGGGTCCGACCACAGCAGCGGCAAAGTTGCTGAGGAGCGAAACAAAATTGTAGATGTCGACGGGAGGGATCGAGATTGGTTTGGTCCTTACTTGTCATTACAGAGATTGGCTCATCCAAACCAACACTTTTTTTGAAATTCTATCTAATACATCATTCCTAAGAATGCTTTAATGCAAGCACTAGCTACCCATACAACTACACCATACTAGAATGCTCATGCTTGATCGACTACCTGAAACCGGCTTGTGATCTCCTCCAGAAATCCCTTAGGTGGTGGTTTGGACATGATTTCATTGGTTCCCTTTGACAACAGAAGCTGGGCTGCTCTTTCCGTAACATCTGCCGTGTAACTGATGATATACGAGGGGTTGAGCCCGTTCTTGGTTTCGAACTGTCGAATCATCTCGGTAGCCTGAAGTCCGTCGACCTCCGGCATGTGGTAGTCGATGAACAGCACACTTGGTCGTTCTTTCACGTACAAGTCAAAGCATGCTTGGCCCCCGTTAGCAAGCTCCACGTCAACCGTAAGATTCCGTTTTTTAAGCTCCGACTTCAAAGCACGTTGAAGGATCTTCAGGTTCACCTTGTTGTCATCGCAAACGACAATGGGTCCTTGTACGGGAATGGTTTCAGCTGGCAGAGATATTATTGCTGGGGCATCCTGGTGCTCTGCATCTCCGTCGACAGCAAGAGGATCTGGAGTGCCAACAGGAAACGCGACATGAAAGACAGTGCCTTTGCCCGGTGTACTAGAACATGCCAAGAAACCGCCCAGTTGATGACATAGAGATACACAAATGAACAGGCCAAGGCCTGTGCCCTCAATGGGTGTTGCTTTACTCCCCCCGCTGCCCGATTGCGTGTAAGGTTGCAACATCTCTGCCAGTTCCTCTGGCTTCATTCCACAGCCCGAGTCAGTGACCGACGCCAACATCCACTTCTGATTCTCGAGCTCGGTCAACTTGGCCACTTCGCTTTCGACACTGGACACCGAGTAGAGCACTTCGCCCTCGGTCATGGTGTACACAGTGCCGGCGTAGCTCGATGCGACCTCTCCCCATTTTCGAATTGTGTCTCTTCTTGTTTCCGCCAACTGGAACTTCACGTTGATTCTGCCTTTCGGTGAGAACTTGATAGCGTTGTTGATGATGCTAAGAGCAGGCAAGAAACGGTGAGAGAAGAGCGCAGAATTGCTGCAACCTGACAAATGCTATCTGGAATACTCACTTCGACACGATTTGGACGACTTTCGTTTTGTCCGTGACGATGACAATGTAGTCATGCTGCGGGAAAACCTCACTGTGAAACTTGATTTGCTTGCTCAGCGCAAGAGACTTCAGACTCTGCGTAGCCTCCGATGCCAGAGTGTGGTAATTGTACTTCTCTCGAGTGATGGAGTGTGACAAATATTTGTTCTTTGAAATGTTGATGATATTGTCCAGCAGATGAAGCATATGGTTTCCAGATGACAGGGCGGTATTGATGAGATCTTTGACCTCTTCTGTCTTCATTTCCTTGCGTGATTCGTCCAGAATGTTAAGGCAACCCATTACTCCATGGAAAGGTGTGCGAATTTCATGGCTCATTTGTGCCTGTACATAAACAAGAAGCGAGAACGAACGTGGGAGGAATTTGGAGTGAGAAAGACGCAAAGAAGCAACCATTATACACCACCACCAGACAGCAAACTGCTTGTATCATGTGTACTTACGAAGAAATTATTATTCTCACGTGCCCTGGCAATCGCATTGAAGTACTTGACATTTGCATCTTCAATGTCAGCTTTCAACAGGGACATCATACGATTGTGAGAATGTTCCGAAACACGGTCTGTCAGAGCAGAAATGACTTGAAGGTCTGAGGATGACCAAGCACGCGACTCCTGCCTCGCCTTCTCCATGTAAGTCTCAAAAGACTTGCGAGGATTCAGGATGCCGCCAATCTTTAGTTTCGGTTCGTCCGGGTTTCCACCCCATCGAACGTCTTGGCACCTCAAACCTCGCCCAAGTAGCAGCTGGACCAACCCGTGTTTGAAGTAGACGATTCCGCACGCAGGCGACATCTCCTTGCTAATTCCCATTGCTTCGAGGGCACTGCGTGTGTTAATTGCGCAGAGTTCTCGGCTAGGATGATCATTAAACTTGGCCCAGACAGAGTCTTGCGGTGCTATCGACTTGTCGCCCACAACGACCACGTCTGCTTCTTCCTTGGACGGGTCCTGAATTCTCCCAACGAGGATATCTGCGTCAATGACGTGCAGGATATCCGTGCCTGGCATGGATATATGCAATCGACGGTATTTTCATGAGGAGGGCACATCCGGAAGAAATCAACAAAAGCGACGTCACTTACCAATGGTCTGCAAATTCTCCGCGACCGATGAGTTTTGCGACCAGCGCAAAAGAGTTTCGGAGAGCTCAATGATCCGAACACTCTGAGCTTTCTTTTTGAGCGCCTCGACTTTGACCGACACCATCGAGTTGATCTAGTTACGACATGGGAGTAGGCAGTAGTGAAAACAGGCATGTTAGCAATTTCCCGACGAGCGTTGTTTTTTCCAGCAAGCAAGCAAGCAACCAAGCACGCACCGTTTCACAGGCAATGCGCTGATGCAGGCTGGGTTTGAAGGGTTTGGTGTAACCGTGAAAAGCCAAAAGACCCCAAAGTTCATTCTCCACCACAATGGCGATGGACATGGAACAGAGTACGCCCATGTTTCGAAGGTACCTGGGAAGGGAAGATAAAAGAAAGATCACGCACATTAGTAGCCATACATTGACCAGAGTTCAATCTATCCACACATCAGTACCGTAGCTCAATAATAGTAATCGGATTTGCACTTACACGATATGTGGCTTGGCGACGGCTCTCATTCGACACTGTGACAGATCCATCTCACTGTTGTTGTTGTTGTTATTATTGTTGGCAGTTCGGCTCTGGAGATCGACAATGGGTGTTTCATCGGACTCGACGTCGTGAATGTATCGCAATCCATTTTTGACGTATAGTTCTCGGGACGATTTGGGTATATCGGAAGCTGGAAATCTCATTCCAAGATAAGACGACGACACAAAGTCCTTTTTGATTTCGTGCACGACCTCTCCAGAATTGTCATCGTTGAACTGATAGACCATCCCACGATCGTATTTTCCCAATAGATTAAAGATGGTGTCACAAGCCGTGGTGGCGATTTTTTCGTCCACGTAGAATTCCATGATCCGTCCGAGACTGACGAGAGTGGAGTAAAAGTCACTGGTTGCTTCATTTCCATCCACCTCTTCGATTTCCAGGCCCACCACGGAGCAATCCCTGGACGTCGATGAGAGAGTAATGGCATACGACTTGCGTTTGTGTTTGTAAAAGTGGAATGTGCGGGTACTCTTGGCCATTTTCATGCCTTCAATCGCTTCAAACAAGTCTTGGTAGAGTCCAAAGGGTATCCAGTACTGCAGAAAAGCACCCAAGATTTCTCTCGACTTGTTCTCCATCTCTTCCGTGTCCACCGACATGGCCGCATGAGAACATGCAGTGGTAGTGCTTTCGGTTCCATCCTGACTCTCACCGCACTTACCAGTGGTATCCATGTTGTTGTTGTTGCTGCTGAACTCTCCCTTTCTCTTGAGAGGCATCGTCCCACGTTTACGAACCCACGGCACGGCTCGCACATGTGCATCGGCTGCAATTATCTGCCCCGACGGATACGACAAGAAAATCACATGACCAGAACCGCCTTGAATGTGACCCACGAGGTGTAGCTGCTCGCGATCGCATTCACTCAACTCTTTCTCGCTAATCTTGTTGCGGTCTGCCAGTCGAGTCGATGCAGCCGTCTTGCGGTCCTGGTCCTTGGGGAATTCGATATGCGTGTTCATGCTCATGGCAGCTTATGTTCCTTTTGCTAATAACTTGCTAGCTACTGAATAGCCAATCCAATGATGTGATACAAACGTAGAGATGGATGTATGTGTTGGATGATCGGCAAGTTAGTTGAGGTAAAAGGGATGGATAACAAAGCTCCTGACAATCAACGTCGATAATCATGAAGCACGCGTGGATCGCACCTTCAGGGATGGACGCAGCACAGCTTCTTCAAGAACATGTCGAAACGACACATTTATTTGGTACAAATTGCCCTCCACTTCCATTACATGTACACACAAGTGGACAATAAGGATGGGGTAAAATGTCAATTGAGGACAGGAGTTGCAAAAAGGGGTTGCATACTTCATGTGCGGAACTAGCTAGCTACCGTAGCTAGATGGAATGATAGAGGGAAGAGAGCACTTTTGTTATTCTGAATCTGGAGTATAATATATTTACCTCAGAGACCTCGTTCTCATATTCTGTATGGCCCAGGTATTGCCTTCCGCTTCCGCAACGCGAACGACGAACGGCCCAATCGTCTTTGAACAGCTGCAAAAAGAATGTCTTTCGGGAGAAGTTAGAACACCACGCTTTGACGTGCGTCAGCACGGGAGCATTAAGCATGAGAGCAGCAGTCTTGATGAGAGGGAAAGCTGATTATGTAAAAGAAAATGGAAAAAGAAGCAAGAAGCAAGACAGCTGAGATCACGAAATAAAATAAGCCAGCAGATTTATTTAGAACCAAGAACACCTTCAAGCCTTTCTCTTCCCATCCTTGGCTCACGGTACCAGGACTGGTACCAGGTTCGGCACCGTACTAGCTAGTACTAGTACGGTGCTGTCAAGTCAAATAGCAGGCAGCAGGGCAGGTAGGTAGCTCGCTAGCTTCCGGTAGCTACCGTAGCCACTACAAGCCGATGCACAGATTGTAAAGTATAATGATGAATGATTATACAAGTTTCTCCATAAACAGACGCCGATGATTGATTTTGATTCGATTCGAGTTTTGAACCAAGTCAAGTCAATTCCGCGCTCTGGGGTGTAGCTACCGGTAGGTTACAATTATAGTAGAGTCGATTCGATTCGAGTCTTCCGGCCTGGAGACAGCCACCAGATGGAGACCCAGCAGTTTGCCGTAGGAGAGATCCAACCATCACAGAGCTGGCGAGTTGGAGTGGAGTTTGGAGGGGAGATAAGAGTTCAGGAAGCAAACTTTATCGACAAGCACAAAAGGTAAAGTAGCTCCCAGGACTACGAGGGCGCCCACCGTCCCTGTCAACGTCATCGTCAAGTCCATCTTGTAGTTTCTTCGCAGACTGGTTGAGTTTAAGGCACATATCCATTTGTTTCTTGATGGCTCCTGTTGCATTGGTGTGAAGAGATGTCAGGGTGTAGTTTCTCTGAAGCATGCTGGCCAGAGCCTCAAAGCCTTCGTCGCTAATGCTTCGGTTTCCCTTCCGAACATCCAAAGCTTTCAAGGTGACATTCACCTGTAATGCTCTGCCAAGTGCTTCGCAGGTCTCATCATCAAGGCCCATGTTGTACAGCCGAAGGGTCACCAAGGTATTGTTTTCTTCTAGCACTGTTCCCATCAACTCTGAGAAGTCCTGGCCACGATTGCAGGTCTCGTCTGTGTTTTCGAACGTGATTTCCTTGAGAAAGGAATTGGCATCAATGGCCTTCCACAGGGCTTTGCAGCACTCGCTATTTCCCAACCCACGACAAGCCAGAGTAAGGTGTTCAATGCCTTCGTTGACTTCAATCATTTCAGCAACAGAAAAGCAGCTGTAGGCAAGGTTATTCCCAGCAACTCGAAGCTCCCTTAGGACAGCATTGTATCGAAGTTCCTTGCTCATCGTAGTCAGGTGTTCATCACATAGATGCGGCCACCGAAGATCCAAGATTCGAAGGACCTTGGAACGGCAGAGGCTCTGTAGTGCATGGGATGACAAGTGGGATCCCTTGTCACAATACAAGCACATACGAAGTTCTTCTAACGTGTCAACTTTGGCAAGGGCGTCTATCAATACACCCAAGTCAATTCGTCCTCTTTCAAAGTATGCCGGCAGAAGTTTGAAGCTCTTGAGCAGGGGCAGTTTGGTTATTGTATGGCTGAACTCGGCAAAGTCTGATGAGGTTCCCACCAAGTTGGGTCCATGCAGCTCAAAGGTGGATAATTTCTTGGCAGCTTTGAAAATGGCAGTGAGAGCATCCAAAGGTATCTTGACCCTGGTGCCATTCGAGATGTAGACCAGACTTTCCAACCTGGTCAGACAAGCAAGTGCTTTGAGCACCTCTCTTCTCCCATTCAGAGAGCAACTGGCCAAAAAATTGTCGTATAAGAACACATATCGGACCGTTTGGTTTCGACTAATGGCTTCTGCCAGCCTATAGGCATCTTCGACTTCCCATTCCAGCTTGAGGATAAAGTACGTTTTGCGATTGAGCTCCAAATGCTCGACAATCGATGCCTCCCACCTCGACATTGTCGCTGTGGCTACTATGTACTATGTCGATGCCTGTTGCCAGGAATTGTTTTGGATGGGAAAGGATGAAAGGAGAAGGCTGCTGCAACTCTTCAGCTTGTGGCTAAGTACCAAAACAAAATGAAGTCTGAGCAAGAATGGATAGTGACTATCACATCGACTGTACCCTGCGCAGAGCGGCTCTTCACCAAATTCGACCTTCATTTACAGCGACCGTCGCTCTCTCTTCCATCTTGCAAGCAGGTCAAGTTTCGGTGATTAACACTCGTTTGTACTTAGTGGGATGCCAGAGCCTGCTTTGCTCGCAGGAGAAACCTGTACCCAAAAATGCTGCCACTAATCCAATCCGTACCAGTATGCTTAGACTAGTCTAGTCTAGCTACCACTAGCCAGTATTATTAGCAACAGTGCAAAAGTACGCACCGGTACTGACAGCTAGCCTAGCTAGCCTAGCTAGCAAGCCACTACCGGTACTAGCTATGTCGGTACATCTCAACAGAGCTAGCCAGCTAGTAGACCGATGGCTTCTAGCTAAATTGCCGGTAGGTGCGGTTGATACCGAAAGCATGTTTTGGATGAACCTCAATCAAAAGGGCTCACTAAAATGGCTGCATGTGGAAAATGCTGGCTTGTGTCATTGGATATTGACAAATTGGTTGGGCCAAAGACACTACCAAACAACCCTAGTACCAGAAGGTGTTGATATTCCCGCCGCACTTGGCTATTACCTGACGATTCAATGATTATGGGCGAACTCATGAAGAGCCCACACCGCATCCTTTCGTCTGATGCTCAAACCTGGCTAAAATCTGATGTAGATTCCCTGTCGCTTTACTGACAATGAGCGGGATTGGTGGGCCTAAAGGCATTCGTGACACCTCGCAATACTATACAATGCTCTCTCAAAGCATCAGTCCGACCCAAACAAGCCAGACTGCTCTGTCTTTTATCGCGAGTCAAGTTTCATGAAAAGGGGATTAGATGCGAGAACATGACATGATCAGGATCTTCCACTGCTGTAGAAATACGGAGAATATGACTCCCTTTCGCCACAGAAGCTGCAATAACTTTGCAGAATGGCCCACCCACCTCGACAGCCCACGGGAGTTTTTTTGCCGTGTCCAGCTTGGTTCCATCTAATTCTAAGGTGACGTACTCTAGCAAGGGCATTCTGCGGCGTTTCGAGCAAGAATCGATGAAACACGGAGGTTCGCAGAGTACCAGAGGTCCCGGCCCAGACGAAGTAAAGCCAATTCCGGTTGTGGAGGCGCCTTCTGGCTCGCTTGTATCTTTCCTATTTTTCTTTTTTGCCTGTTTCAAGTGATACCCAAACTTTCTATCTCGGTAGCCCAAAGGACCAAATCGAACGTCTAGGTTGGAGATTTGCTTCTGTGGGTCGTTCAAAAAGTGGGATGCACCTTTTTGAGGCATTGATGCTGGCGAGGTTTCATTGGAAAGAATGGCCGATGCCAAGTCTGGGCCAAGATTCGGAATGTAACTTGTGATGCAATTTGGTTTCAAGCTGCAGAACTTTTTTGAACAATACTCCGGGGGTGGGAGCGGTATAGACTTTGCCGTGTTGTCGTTGTCTCTAGTAGCACTATCCATTTCAGGCTGTAACTTGTTTGCCGCCTGTCTGAGAGCACGAAGAATCGGCAGAGCATTGAGCTCACCTCGCAGTTCGTGAGACCGCTTGCCACCGTCTAAAGGACAAAATGAACGCACAAGGGGGAAGCATGAGTACGGCACAAACAAAAAGACATTTGCTGCATGGTGCAGTAGGAGCGCACTTACACCACACATGTCGACATCCCAACATGGACGAACAGACTGCACCCCCCGCATCATTTCTAGGAATGTTGGCTTCGGTCAAGTTGGCTCGGGCCAAATGTCTCTGAACGAAATCCGGGATTTGATTGCAAGGCGGATCATGAGCCGGTCCACAGTCGACCAATGGCAGCACCTTTCCAGCATCAAAGGCTTGATTGGAAAACTCCAACAAGTGATCCAAGTGCCAAATGGATCCATGGGGATCCACGGTGGAAAAGTCCACAAATTTCGCATACTTTTGGAAGATGGTCTCCCAAAATGAATTTCTTCCCTTTTGCCATCGTTGTTGAAATTCTTTGGATTTCTGGTACACATCCTCGTCAGGCCGCGGTTCTGGCATGTCATTATTTGGATCGTCTTCGTACACAAATGCATCATGACCAGGACCTAGATTTACAACGGCACGCTGTTTCCCACGGCGGGAACGTCCATGTGGACCCCCCTTGTTGAAGAGTATCAAAGCAGGCTGGGCTTGCGAGAGTAACGTCCATCGTACAAAGGCTTCTACTTGAGCCTTGGGATTGGCTTGTAGAATGCCATCGAGATCCCAAACCACAACATCCACCGGGTCAGGGCCCATGAAATTGGAGACACACATGTGGGTGGATTGTGGTCCTTCTCGATGGAGGTCGCTATCCATGGCATGATTCCAAACTTGCAAATCCAATCCGGCCGCTTCAGCTACGGAACGCAGTCTTGCTTTGGATTGGAATGGAAATGTTGCATTGAAGAAATTGTCGCGTCCGGTGGTTTGTGCAGAGCCAAGAAACACAACTCGCAGCACACAGTCCTTTTTTGTGGAACGATTACTGTTGCTGTCAGGCGATAATTTTCTCAAGTGGTGGCATTTCCATATTCTGTTTGCCAAACGTTCTGCCAAAAGAGTAGACGCATCGTCGGCACCTCCAAATGGAACACCGTCCTGTAAGGATCGTCGTTCCCCATGAAAGAAATTGAGCGTCTCTTGCTCGGCATCATTGGCTGCTTGAATCAAATCTTGTTTCAAAAGCGAAAGCGAATCCTTGTTCCGGATAACCCGAGGACTGCTTTGTTTGTTTTTGTGTTGGTTCCGTCTCGGGTGTAGCTTTTGATGAGCTTTTTCTGTGCCCATCCCAATATCCAGTTTTCTCGGTCGAGGAGACAGAAATGTAGGACTTGCCGACACGTCGTTGGAAGAGATCCGCATGTGAATCATCATGGGCACCAAAGCTGTCATGAGCACGGCTGCCAAGAAGAAACGCCATTCGTTCTCCAGATTCATCGCTGCCGGTTTGTGGCTCTTGCGTCGCTCAATGGGTGTTGAAACAACCGTCGGTATGTTTCGCCGTTCTATAGGAGATCCGTGTTGTGGCCGAGGAATGGATGTCATTATTGTGTGTTGTCTTGATCGAAGATCGTATCGTAATATTTTCCCTAGCTTATCCAGATTAGATTGGCAGAGGTTGCAAAAGCTGATTGCTCTGACTGGCCCAGCCGCTAAAGATCCCTCGTCGTGATTGCTCTTTGGTTTTTGGTTCTTGTCTTTTTGCCCAAAAGATCCTTCGTCAAATCAGTTCAATTGTCACAAATGAAGCATTAAAAGTCAAATACAATGCTTTAATTATTTTTTTATTTTTAGAAAGCTTCCTAGAAAGACTTGTTGTTTTCCAGAAGTCGTGCGAGGCTTGCATGATTATGCGAATTTAGCTGTTTTACCGTAAATGCATCTATTTCCGCCACATTTTCCGAGAAAATCCAAAGAAAACAGTCACAAGATTAACAGTGCTAATAACAGTATTAAAAGATCGACGTGCCTCGTGTTTGTTAATAAATAAGTGATCCCGAAAACAGCCAAATCAGCTAAAACCAACTGTAAGGTAGGAGTACTTTATTAAATCGTATGACTTTCATTAAATAATGTTGCTATTCAGAGTATCTGAACTCGTACCGGTACAGTAGCTCGTTCTCGTAGCAAGTTAGGGGCCTTTCAAACTTAAGGTCTGACTTGTGCTGTCTGTAGGTGTGTGACTACAGTAGGAGTACATGTATGTCAGCGTAACAGCTCTGGCGCTGGAAGACTGTCTTTGTACTTTGTACACAGTAATTGTGCGAGGTTAAATCCAGGCCTTCACTAAATCCTACGGCGTAAAGGAGCAGCGAGGTTTTAACGGCGTCACCCATTGTGAGGCTACTCCCTTCTGTGGTGCGAGGATGCGTGGCAGCAAACATCAACAGAAAAGATGGATAATCTCACGTCTACACGCTAGCACGGGTGGGTTTGGTAAGTGTTTGCGGTGCTCGATCGAGACTGCGACTCGAGTAATATGGTTGCCTCTTCTTCCGTTAGACAGCATCAACAAAAGAAACCACGTCTCCTTGCCATTACAACCCTCACCTCCTTTGCCAAGACAGAAGAAAGAGAAATCCAGAAATGGAGAGCGAAAGCGTCGAGAACAAGATCAACCAGTGCAGGAATACTACTAGTATGGATACTACTATCGAGCATGGAGCCAAGACAGATACCATTCGAGAAACCAAAGAGCACCCAGACTGTCACTCAAAGGAGAATGAGAGGAATAATGGAGAGATCTACGAGGTATCAAAACCAGAACCTGCATTAATCAACGAAGCTTGTGACCTATCAATGCATCCTGTGACTTCTCTTCGTGCTGAGATGGATAGATCAGCCACCTATTCGCAGCGCAACACAGCAGAGCACACAGAGCCCCACACTGCCACGTATCCAGAACTTGTACTACCAGAACACATGGATACACAAATGCTTCCCCTGACACGCAACTTTGTGGAAGAAGGAGGACTACCAGGGGCCTTTGCTGTGGAAGGGCCCCATGCCAGGCTGAGTCGGTCACCCGAGGTCCAAGCCTCAAGTACTCATGAAGTCGCCCAAACCAATCAAGTTCACATTGATGACGTTCACATTGATGACGCCCACTTGGTGGATGTGGACGCCGAAAACGCCATGACAGAGCGTGTTGATCATGGAAGCAGTGCTGAACTTGTCGAGGGTAGAGTTATAGGTGGTAGACAACAAGACAAGCGAGGCCACTGGATTGGGTGGATTGCCATCCTTGGCTGTGCTGTCCTTGCAGTGGTGTTGATACTTGTCTTCCTTCTGGGACAATCCAGTGGGGAACCCACAGAGAGCACAATGAATGCAAAACATAATTTCACTCAAGACCAACCCATCCATTATCCACCATTTCATGACAATCTCCCCCAACTGGTTGCCGCAGCCATCTCAGAGGACTTCGATAGTCCTTTCTATTTTGCCAATCAATGGGTCATGAAGGATCCCGACTTCAGCACCTACTCCACAGAACAAAATCTACAAAGGTTCTACTTGGCCATGATGTACTATGCTACTAATGGTAACTCTTGGCTTGATAATGAGAACTGGCTCAGTTATGAAGTTTCGGAATGTAGTTGGTTCACCAAGAGCAGCTTTACCACCTCAAGCAAGTACTATGAAGCCAATGTCTGCGAAAACAGCACAGTGATCAGCTTGAGCCTGGCATCAAACAATTTGACAGGGACGTTCCCAATTTGGTACACGTACTTCATTCCCTCATTGAAGATCCTTGACCTCGGTTACAATCCGATTGCTGGTGCATTGCCACCGATCACTTCCACTCCAGAAATTGAAGTCTTTGTTGTTTCCCAAACTGAATTGGAAGGGGCTCCCATCATGAATGCGGGGGCCTACTTCGCTGCTCTCAAGGTCTTGAAGATCAATGGTAGCAAGGTCCGTGGAAGCAACAGCGGAGCGTTGAATTATCTGACTCCAAACCTTGAGGTCATGAATATCACTACCAACCCTACCGGTACCAGTACTGGTGGCAACATTTTTTCATCCATAGGACTCCTGACTCACTTGGAATATTTGGGGAATGGTCACAGAGTTGTTTTGACCGGCACAATTCCAACTGAGATTGGTTTAGCCAGGTCCCTGCTTGAAATCGACTTGTCCAGCAATCCCAGGCTTGAGGGAATGATCCCGTCTGAACTTGGTCAACTTGCTCACTTGACGAAGCTAGACCTAATGGACACACCTGTCACCGGGAAAGTGCCTGTTGAGGTTTGCAAGAGAGTACAAGAAGGCCAACTGGAGCTATTGGTGGACTGTGGTGCTCTGCTTCAGTGTTGTGCCGACTAAGACCCAGCATTTGGACTAGATAGTATGATGGTGCGGCATGCAGTCATTGTGCCGCAGCTGCTATGGCTTTCATATGGACTGATATCAAGGCCACACTAAGTGAGAACCTTGTTACTAACAGTTGTATGCGATATTTCGAGGACCAGAACAGAAATACTGCACTGAAACAGCTAATTTGGACACACTGGGATGCTTGCTCTTGTAAAAACGCAACACCCAAAGATTCTTTGCCTTTGGGCTGATACCAGTAGCAGGTGGCTGGAATTACGTGTTCGCTCCTGCTGCTGCGGAGCACTGGTGGAGGACTGCATGACCACCACCTGTGAGGTGAGCCAGAGGCGTAGTTTTCTGAGTAGCTTTTGACATCCTTAGAACTGGCTCCCCAAACCAGTTGTATCAGACTGTGCTGTGGAATACCAGTACGGAGCGAACGGTGACGCCACCTGTGCCTCGGCCGGATAATATTATGGCCTAGCTAGTCCTCCAGGAAACCTTCTCTGCTGAAGCCTTCCTGTATCGCAAACTACTTGCTCGGAGATTGCCGATGTCAGGTGAGCCATACCGGTGGTGGAACAAATCAATCTGCGGTGTTCATAGCATCCGGGCAGGGCGGCTGTACTAGCTAGCTACGAGGCTGTGGTATTTAAAATATTACGGGTATTCTATTTTAATAGACCTTCTGACGATTTTACAAATATACCTTTTAATTAAATTTTATATTGATTTCTTTTTATTTCTATTTTTCTCTTTATGATCCCTTATTTAACTCTCACTTTTATTAAAAAACGATCACAGGTTTTGCTGATTTTGAAATCCTGCCAAAATATTCAATTCCTCCTTCCCCTGAAAAATTGTCCCAATAGAATCGAGAAAATTTCAAATCTTCGAACGGTCCTGGCTACGTTATGGAATGACAGATGACAGGTGCACAAGCTCCAACCCCAGCCAAAGGACTCGACTCCTCGCTCTAGCTCTAGCTGGCTGATTAAGGGTGGTTGAAAGAATCAATGCGTGTGCTCTCTAGAGTAGGCTAGTAGTAGGGAGCATATGCTCATATTGTTGCACTGTCTCTCTCATCTCCAGTGTCAGAACCATCCGAGTCCAACTGGAGTTGCTGCTATAACTAGTGGCAGAGCGCTTGGTGCCAGTGTCTACAGTCCCATTTTTGCAACAAGAAGCGATGATCTCACTAACCAGCAAAGTAGCGTTTAGCCAGCCAGCTAGTAGAGATAGCCAGGCTAGTAGATTGGCCAGCAAAGTATATTATTGCTGCCGAGCCCATGCTGATGCTTGAAGCAGCGTCTACTAGCTAGTACATGTACTTTTGGTAAAAAAAACATTGCCGCGAGCGCTACGCCCGAGAGCCGCTACACTGTATCCCCGTTCGCTGCCAGGCACGGAAGAGTGGGCGCGTACAGATTTCGGACGAGCGCCGGTATTTCGCTGGATAAGATTCTATCATTCCGTTCTTGCGGTATTCGTAAGAGGTGACTGAGAGAATTACCAATAAATCCTATTTTAGCCTTTTGAAGAAGAGTTCTTGCTTGGACGAAAGGCCTACTGTACCGGTACCGTACCATACGGCAGCCCGAGTGCCTTGAGTGAGAGAGTCACAGTCACAAGATTTCCTCAAGTCACCACGTCGCAACTAACTGACAAAATGGCTTGGATACCTGATCAACCGATACCGGTGGTAGCTTTGCAGAGCAAGGAGTCTAGTCTAGCTAGTCTGCTTGCACTCTTCGCCTCATCTCACAACCTCAGAACTTGAAGACTGCAGAAGAGCCCAGAACAAAGCTTAGCTGGAGTTACCATATTTCAGAACCGAATGATCAATCAATTGCAATGACGAGCGACAATCAGTTCCCACCAATTGATATTGTTGTTTTGAATGGCGAGCTAGCATGTTCCCATATGCACGACGACGACTCTGTAACCTTGTGTACAATGGATGAAAGTGATTCGGTTGCGCATGCGCAGTACGTGGAAATATCACCCGGCAACTACTATGAGATCCTCGAATCGCGATGGGAGAGTGAACACGGGGCTCTGGAGGAGAGTGGAAATTCTCGGCCCAGTGCTTCCAGGGCCCCTCCCTCTGCGGGACGCCCCTATCGAAGGGGCAGCCTCGTCATGACACTCAAGAAATCAACGATGCTGCAGGAAGACATATCACGTCGCGAAAGTGTAGCCAGTCCTAAGAAGCCTACTCTCCCATCTCGAAGAGAAAGCATGGCCATGAGTTTGGCAACTACTGACGAAGAATGGGAAGCTCAGGGCATTCTTCCACAGCCAGACAACTGTCGCCAGGCTTCGTTTGGCTCCATGGTGCCTGTTCGACCCAATCGGAGAGCAAGCATTGTAACGAGCGCTGTCCAAGACCCCGAGGCTACTGGAAGGCCACATATTCCATTCCGAAGAGGTAGCCTGAATGTGGCGGACCTTGGATATGCTCCACAGGAGGCTGTCGAGCCACCGAAGTCGTTAGTGCGAACGATCACGCAGTGTAGCGAGCCTCCGAAGTATCCACACCGCAAAAGCAGTATGGGCATGTGTCAATCTCAGGACGCAGCAAACGCCGCGTACGCCCTCCCGACTTCCGATTTGCGATTGGATGCCAAGCGCCCCCCCAAGCGTCCTTTCAGAAAAGCCAGCATGGACATGGGCCGAGCTGATGATATGGATACTTCGGCTGCTGGTAACTGTGTCTCGCAGTCCATGAATAAATCATGCTCCTCCCAGCCCAAGTGCCCGCTGCGAAAAGCCAGCATGGGGATGTGTTCGTCTCAGGACCACCAAGCGGCCGACGAGGCAGACACGTCTAACACCGAGGCCCCGGCACATGATGTTCGCAGGCACAAATGCAGACGTACTTCCCTGGTGCCAACCTCTTCTGGGAAGGAATTGCCTCCACACCGGCGAGGAAGCCTTGTTCTGAGCTTGGCTTGCTATGAAAAAGACCCTATAAAGTGTAATGAATCTGGTCAGATCCGCCTCAAGTTGACAGGATTGGAGCTGAAAGGCAGTGATCTGAATGTCTACCGCAGCGGCATTTCTCGAGTTCCACCTAATAGCAAAGACATGACAAGCGTCGCGGCATAGCAATGTTCATAAGATCATTAGTAGCCGGTGAGCAGACTTGACTGTGGGAAATACCCGGGCCTTAGCTCGTGGGTCGTCCTCAAGCACATCTTGTCTGAATCCGTTATTAGACGTTCAGTTTTTTTTTTTAGTAGACCTTCTTGCTGTTGCCAAGCAATGTGTTGTTTTCTTGTAGTAGAACCGGGTACCGGTATGTAGAGCATCCAAGGCGAAGGCAACTAACTCGCTAGCCAGGGCATTGTCGCACCAAGCAATCCAAGATACCAAACAACAACGCACTTCGAATGAAGCACAAACCATTGTCATGGGAAAGAACTCGACCTGCAGGAGACTTTGAAGAGCGTGCGGTTCTTTGTCCTCGCACGCATGCTGCAAGAGAGAACAGTCAACTTGAATCCCCTATCGACCATGAAATATCATTCTGCAATCTTCTGTTTGGCGCGATGCAGCTTTCTTCCTCGATTGCTTCCAAATAGACCTTTGGGCAGCTTGTGAGATAGATCGCCTAGCTCTTCGCTGCTACATGCCTCATCAAAATGGATGGTTAAAGCGAAGAAGATCAGAATGTTCAAGTTGGCAAACCCAAGTTCCACCCCATACCTAATCTGAAAACCGACCAATTTGGCTTTGAACATGCATGCGAAAAACTTCACATCTAGTAATTGACGAGGATGCGATAGGAAGAGAGGTGGTCCCGGATGAGTCGGTGATGCTTTGAAATCATCGTTTGCCAAGGCGAGCATTGTTTGGAAGCATATGGTTGCCGCAGCTTAGTTGGATCCGGAATCCGGAAGGCTGCAGGTCTTGACAAGAGTGTTGCATTGTTCTCTCTGTTTTTGGTAGTCCCAGCATTTTCGTGATTCGTTGGAGCAGAACAACCAGTTCCAACTTGCATTGAATGTTGTAAACCCACTTTCTTGTGGTTCATCCAAGAACCAGACCTCCGTGATCTCCTCAAGCAGGGCTCTAGCTAGACTCGACTCTAGCTAGCTAGAGCTGCAGACATCGGTACCGACTGGAACCCTCTACCTGGTACCGAGGAGTGTACGGCAGGTGGTGCAAAGGTGCGAAGGGTGCCTGAGAGGCTCACTCGGCTCGACTCGACTCGACTCGACTGTCACTCATTCGCAAAATATCATTTCCGGGTTACAACTGTAGTTGGGAGTTAAAGTAAATACAAATTAGAATAAATCTACTATAAAATACTATTATCTGTAGCTTTACAATATGTTTTACCGCATCTACGTACATTCTGTACACTTGGATTGATTATTTATTTATTTTGTCTTCCTGTTTGGTCGAACTTCTCATCCGTGCGTGACCAACAGCTTCCGCTTTGTTACGCTTCCAAAAAGAATAGGCTTATGGACTTCCGGTTCTCTGACAGAAAGAGGGAGGGCGGAGCACCGAGTAAAAACTAAAAAACAAGAAATGGGGCCGTCTCTTTCCGACAAACAGTAGGGGAAGCGGGATTGTCCAAGGCGCCAACTTCTTGCTCTCCTCCCAATCTGACCAGTGGGACTCCCAGGCCAAGATGCGTACCGTAGTACTACATGCTACATGTAGACTAGCTAGCGAGTAGGCCGGCTGTGAGTATGTTGCATTTTGGTCGGCTCCGTGCTTCACAGCATCAACCTAGTCTAGCTATTGTGGGACCCAGTGTGCTGGCCAACCGGCTGTGGCCTCGCGAGCTCGCGAGATCAAGTGCTCACAATTCTTGGTACTTACCTCTCAAGAAACCCAACCAACCCAACCTTCCCGTGACAAGAACAATGGCACCACGACGCTCGATGCAGTTTCCACCGGTTGAGATAATCATTGATGAAGATCTGCAGGGCAGCCTTTCAACGTTTGGCTTCAATTCTCTCTTTGATGAATCACAAGCCCTTCTGGAATGCTCCAGATGGGAACTTGACTTGAGCGCACAGTCTGAAGAGTCCGCAGCCGACTGTGTAATGAAGAAGCCAAAACGACAGCAAACATCCGAATCCAAGGCAAATCCACAACCTTCCGATGTGGCCTTGAAGATACCAAGACGACAGCAGACCAACGACGGCCAGGCAATCAAGTCTGCAGCATTGCAACGACTGGGGCCAACAACAAGCATCAGGCGCTCACGCTCCGAGGGCAAACCCGTCCGCTGCAATAACACCAGGGTGCCAAGGTACATGCGAACCAGCGACCCCGGACCGGTCTCTGTCAAATCACTTCAACATTTGCTGGCAACTATGTCGAAGGAATTGGAAGAGGAAGAAGATATCAAGGATCAAGACCGCCAAGATATGGAGGGCTCGCATGCGTCAACTTGGCATGTGCGCAACACCCACAAGCAAAAGACTCCACAGACCGAGCAGACACCAACTGTTTCGTCTCTGCCCCAGGGAAATGACTCCTTATTAACAGATGATGAATGCTCTTTTTGCGACATCGAACACGAGTTCGGTCGTGCTGATGCTGATTCCATCGGCGTAGTACGTGAAGATAGCGCTCCACCAGCAGCAGAAGAGTCGCAAAACGAGACGGGAAAGGAAACGGCCACATCATCATCCTTCTTGTCTCGACGGATGAGTTGTCTGATTTTGAAGGCCCTCGAGACAAACCCGGAACTCTTGCAGGATGATGGGAGGAAGCTAAAGGGATCGACCGAAAACCTTCGACCGAAAAATCCCCGCGATAACCGGCCAAGGCTCCCGAATCGCAGCTTAACTCGTGACGATCTACGAGGCTAATTCGCTTGATACAGTCTTTAGCTACAACTATCATGACACCATTCTACTTTTAATTAACTTTCATGTTATATACACTTAGACCTATTCCAGCCAGCAGAGATGACATCCAGATACTAGTAGTAAAATACGATAGCACGATAGTATCGAGACCAGTTTCGAAAGCGCAGCTTCTACCACTCTCGCGCCCACTGAGAGCATCGACAGCCGACAGGCAGCCCACCCACTCAATTACAAAGGCCAGGAGCTCTTCTCTAATCTTGCTCTTGCTAGCGGTACAGTAGTAGTATCGGTGTACATGGCTGGCGATATTATCGGTACCGATTACCTGCGGTGCTGCGGCGGCACATCAGCTTCCCCTTCCACACTCACATCTATCTCACCATCTATCTCACCTCTCACCATCAGCTTCCCCTTCCACCCACACTCACATCCTCTAGCTAGTCCAGAGCTGGAGTCCTTGAATCCATGACATATGGCATCCACAATCGACGATCCACAACACGAACTCAACCGCGACCAAGGACAAAGCACAGTAAGTTTGTACGTGTACGAGGGCATTCTGCATTCCGTAAACACTATGAGCTCTATTTATTTCTCCGGTACAAAGATACGCCGATGAACTGACGAGTACTTCAGGAGAGTACATGTAGACTCGACTCTACTAGTACCGGCTAGCTAGTAGTACATGTATGGTACTGTACTAGTAGTCTACTACTTACTGTACCGGTACTGGAGTATGTTTGGGAGCTTGGTGGGCCTTCGTTTTGGTTCAATCGACGTGTTGAAGCCAATACCGCACTCTCATCGATAAGCGACTGTCAGGGGTCAGGGAAGCCATGAAGATGAGCGAGCGAGCTACGGTAGAGCTCTGGAAACTGGATATGCTGAAGGCTTGCTTGGTTTTTAAAACCTCTATATTCTTATTAGTTGAAGCAGCAGGGAAGTACTGAAGTGGCTGAAGCCAGCAGCCCATCCAATGCCGCTGCATGCCGTAGCTCGGTTTGATTGAGTGTTTGATGGTTGTTTTTGAGTCTGATGTACTGTGGTACCAGTACGTGTTCGTTCCGCCAGTGTTGTCCACCACGAACTTGTGCTTCCAAACTGTCCCCTGGATATCGATACCAGCCAGGGAGATAGGTAAAGGGAGAAGCAAGCCAACCGACCATCGCAATGCTGATCCGGTAGCCAGTAACCATGCAATCTAGTAGAGTGTGGGCTACGACTGTACTACAGTAGCTATTATAGTTGTACAGTACATAGGAGAAGCTTCAGAAGTAGAAAAGTCCCTTTAATTCCATACGGGTTTGGAAGTGTTAACGCAAAAATCTGAACAAAAAGCAGGACGCCGCGATGAAGAGCGCCAGAAAACAGACTCACATGCAGTGACGAGTAACGAGCCGGACCCTGGTGTATCCTTCGTCCTGGTATCAGCACTACCATTCCAACAAGCGAACGTTGACAATCCACTCTGGCTGCTAGCTAGTTGAAGTCTGCTGAGCTTGGAGATTGTGTACTGCGATCTGTACCGAACCGTACTACCGAAAGAGAACCCAGCCATCACTTCGAATCGAAGGGTGCTACTATACCGGTATATCCACGAACCAACGATCAAAGCAAGACAATGGGCAACACTCCCATCCAAATTGGCTTGAAAATCGACAAACAGACATATCAGCATGGTGAGACCATGACTGGTACTGTCTATGTTAGTGTGTCGAGTGTGACTCCTGCAATTCAATCCTACCAAGGGATCCGACTGGCCTTTGGTGGCTCTGAAAACACGGAGATTCGCATTCGAGAATCACACGGCAGCGGTAGCGACAGGCATACAAGCATTCGCACCGAACGAGAGTCTACATCACTGTTGCATGTCGAAGTGCCATTGACATCCTTTGCCTCACCGTTGCGAGTCGCCAAATACGAATTTCCGTTTGAATGGAAGCTTCCAGATACGCCACTGCCATCATCCTTTCGACATCGCAATGCCGGAGTAGATGGAAAAGGATTCTGCGAGATACGCTACTCATTATCGGCCTTTCTTGTGCCACAAGAACAACAAATGGGATTCTTTGGTCCTCGCAGAAACTCCAACACTTGTGCTTCACAAACCATTCAATTTGTGGGAGCGCCAACAAGGGAGATTCCAGAGCCGCTACATCTGGCCGAAGAACGAACTCACATGAATGGATTATGCTGTTGCTGGAAACAGGGACATGTATCATTAGGCTGGGAGGCTGATTCCATTGTCTTGACGCCCGAGGCACCCTGTCAAATCCAAATCTGGGGATCCAATGCCTCCGCCATTCCAGTACACGGATTGAGGGTCCAACTGATTCAATCCGTCCAATGGCAGGCTGGCCAAGAGTTCCACAGGCGTCGCAGCTGGGGTGAAAATTCCTCTTTGGTTGACTTCAACGTGGACGTTTCGCATTTGCCTCAATGGGATCATGTCACACACAAGGGACATGGCAGCAGTTACAGTGCAGTCAACAATCAGCATGGTGCTCAGCCTGTCTCCACTTCCTTTCAAGTGCCACCAGATGTGCTGGATTCCTACCAAGGACTCAATTGTAAGGTGGAACACAAACTGATTGTCAGTGCTGTCACGCGATTCATGGCGACTACCCCCGCAGTCTCCTACAGTGTTCATTTGCAGCGTTCGGGCACCACATCCTCGTCACCAGCGTCCATGCCCGTGGCTATGGCTTGGATGGAAGAGTCCGAATTCCAAGATGTTGCCTTACCCACCGATTGGTCGCCTGACGAAACAGTCCCCGTTATTCATTTGACCGAAATTAATGCCTTGGAAGACGAAGCCGGGGATAACGCCTCCAAAGTGACCATGGCTACTGCGGAAGCAGTCATGGTGGAACCTGTTGGTGCTGCCGCCGCTACAACGTCGTTTGGTCGCAGTGACAATCCCTTGGATGGCGAAGATCCCTTGGCGTTTGCCAGACCCGCGGATGACTTGGCACCAAGTGCTCCAATGGAAGATGAATTCCTCATGGATGATGCTGCCGCGGATCTCCAACAAGTCCTGGGGATGTTGCGACAGATTGATCCCAATGATTTGACTAGTCATCGACGCATTGAGCATCAAATCCGCAATCTGCCCGTGAGTCAACGAGTGCTGCAAACCCTATCACCACCCCAGTATCGGTACTTGTGTGAAGCAGGAACAAATCAAACGCTGTCTCGAATTGCCTTTCTACTGGCCACCGAGCTCAATAAACGGTCGAGACCAGGATTCCGAGGCGAGTATTTAGTGGCCTTGATGCAACTTCCCCTTGCAAAGGATGGAAGCATTAGCCTGATTGGGTCGCTGACAGATCAGATTTGTGATTTACCCCAGTCGCATCTCTTTGTGGAGCAATCGTTGGAGCCGCAAGATGCACAGTGGTTTCGACAGCGTGTCAACGCCATCCTTCCAGCTGTCTCTGCAGCTCAAGGCATGAGTAAGAGTTTGTTCTAAGTAAGTCGTCAAAAAATAAATTGGCCCATAGATGCGGTGTCAGTCGTACCGGTATCAATTACTATGTGAGTTATCCACGGGTGATTCTGAAGCGTCAGCAAGCTAGCTAGAAGACTGCTTTCTGAGTTGTTTATTCAGTTCTCGTAGCTCCTGTCGAATGTCTTTCAAAAGAGCATTGGTTTCAGACGAATCTCCTCTATCATTCATTGTCCCTCCAGCGGGAGCCTGCGGGAATGATTGCTGTTGATGCTGTTGTGGGGTGGCTGCAGCACCGCCACTGCCATAGGTTCCTCCACCTGCCTGTGCCCGCTTCATGGCCCATGCCAAATTTTTGAGCTCGAGTGGCTTTTCGAGGCCACTCAATGATAGCTCATGTCGGGGTCCACTATCTCCGCCATTTCCTGACGAGGCAGTATCGACGTTCAGAACTGGCAATACGTTTTCAATGCAGAAGCAGGTGGCACCAGCTGGTTCTGTCACATCACAGTCTGTAATCTCTTTTCCATAACAATCACACGACAAGCAAAACACTGTGAGGTCAAACTCTGGTTGTGCACGCCTTCTACTTTCCCACACTGAGTCTTACTACGTACTGTCAAACGGCACTGTTTTCGATTCTTTTCCCAGATCCTGAAAGGAAAAGCCACACATTGATTTCCGCTTGTCTTTGACAAACTTTATTCCATCTTGTGTAATACAGACATGTTTAGAATACGTGTCCCACTCAATTTGTTGTGTGTACATGCATGGAACACAGCAACATGCTGCAAAACAACCAATGGGTGGGATCAACAACGTGACTCCGCAAACGTCCCTCTGGAACTGCTGAACGGCTTCATAGTCAAAGTCAAATACAGCAATCACATCGGTGTCGTTGTCAAAGAACGTATCCCTCCAGGTCAGTCCCTGTGCTTCGGGGATCTCTAAACTGCTACTCGTCCGTCCCATGTTGCTACTGTACGCATTGTGAATAAACAAGGTTGTTTGCTGGAGGAGTCATCAAGTCATCAAAACCGAACTGCACAACCTGATTCTTGGATCTAAATAGGGCTGAGGTTAAAAATATCGGTGTTGTTGCGACGATAGCAGAAACCACTCGTCTCTTGGTGCATGTCATGTATTTACCGGTACGATGTACCTGCCCGTTATGGCTATGTTGATTGGACGCTATAGTAACAATACCGTACTGATGATGTTAGTGTTGACGATGCATACCAGTAGTGTCATAAAACCCTAGCTTTGACGTTCGACGGCCTACTTCGCCACTGGCCATGAGGGGATGCTGCGCTTCGAATAAGGCCCCGGTGGCCAAAGCAAGTACAGCACCAGTAGCAGCCCATCAGCATGTCAAGTATTACTACAGTAATACATGTAGTTGGCTTCCTGTCGCCTTTTGAACTCTCCAAGACGCGTGAGCCTTTCTAAACGCTAAAGCCCTCCGAAACAGGCTCGTCCTCATCTTCGTCGCGGTAACTGCAGTTGGATTGGACAGACACAGCGCCTGAGCGGATTGATTTGGCCGAGCTCTCCGTCACGTTGACAAAGTACGTTTGCATCACACCCTTGCCCTTAGCGACGATCCTGTCCTGTCGCTCCTCGAGCCAGTGCTCTTTGCCCCTCGCCCTCAAGGAATCCGCGGTGGACTGGGAAACGTGAATTCTCCCCTTCACGCCATTGCTTTCCATGCGGGATGCCGTGTTGACCGTATCCCCAAACAGCTGGAATCGGCCCTTGTCGCCACGGAGCACCCCCGCAGTAGCAGAACCAGAATGCAGACCCACCCTCATTTCAAGATCCTAGTTGGTGTCAAAAGCCAGGCGATTTTAGGACAAGCGATGAACAGTTAGTTGTTGAATAACAGGCAAGACTAGAATGGCCGCCATTCGACGATCAGCAATACAATAGAATCAGATAATAAAAGGGCTAGCCTCTTGCATACCTTGGTGTCTTCGCCAAGTACGTCTGACAGTTCCCCGCGAACGAGCTGTTTCATTTCTTTCATGCAGTCTCTGGCAAACCGAGCCATAATGACCGCGTGATTCTTCTGGGGCTCCGGGATACCTGTCACGGCCACGTAGCAATCTCCAATGGTCTCCACTAAAAACATGACAGCGTGAGAAGGAGGAAAGGCGACATGTAGCGCGAGATCAATCGGGACAGACTGCGAGGCCAAACAAGGCATACCTTTGAACACACAACGTCTGCGGGCAATCTCATCGAATGCACCGTACTACAGGGCAAAATGTACAGTTAGACAGAAACAATCGGGAAAAACACCTTGTTGGCAGAAGACGACATTCAGTCGTTGACTCACGAGGGCCTCCAAAAGCTCGAATACTTCCACGGGCGTTCGCTTCGAACTCCAGGCAGTGAACCCTGCAAGATCTGCAAAGAAGATCGTCTGTCAAAGGCAATACAATCGGTTAGTCTTGGTAACAGATTTGATACCGTGTGACAAGATTTCAGTCAGTATGGTACCGGTATAAACAACGCACCGTTTCTTCAAAAAGATCGGCAATGGGTTTGGTCTTCTTGATATCTCCATTGAGTGCCATATCACGCTCCGGCTGGACCGTAAAGTTGTTTGCGTTTTGTTGCTTTTGTTTTTCTTGCTCTTGTTCTTGATAGAGCTGCTGTTTAACTTTTTCAGGAAACAATGAACTAACGATAGCACCCGACGCCAGGGCTCGCTGCATCACAATCCTTTGGCGCCGTTCGACCAACTTGTCGTAGCACAAAAAGACGACCGACGTAAAGAGGAAAATGGAGATTGCCACAACGCTATAAATGACGGGATTGTTGGTGATGTGATTGTCCTCCATATCGCTGGAGGGATAGACTCCGACCGAATAAGGGCAAAAGTCCTCGTCAAAGGGAGCACCGGAATAGGATCGCGTGCTTCCTTCGGAAAAGGTGTGCAGGTCTTTGAAGGAGGACCACTGTCCGTACGAGTCGTACTTTGGTTCGTGCAAATCGCCGCGCCCCAGAAAGGTGGTCTTTGGTCCGTCCACACGATAGGTAAATGTCTGTTCGCAGTTCTGAAAGACGACAATGACTCCGTCCGATCCCGACGGCAGAATATCGCGAATCAAATCGCGCCACCACACTGCCACAATGACAATCCCGAGTACGTTTTCTTGCTTGTGGTTGAGAACGACATTGTCGGAGGCTCCTTCCAGAACGGGATAGTAGTATCCCGATAGGGGTTCGGTTGGATCTTCGGTATCTCCAATAAAAGCCTTGGTCCATGCCGCAGTTGCCTCGGCAATTGCAACTTCGACGGGATTGTTGAGATCGGGGAGATTAAGCGACTTGGCAATGACAACAGTTCGCTTCTCAAGGACGGCGTTACAAGCCCCGTGCAAATTGATGTCATTGTAGACATCGTAATTGTACTGCGACCAGGGTTGGGGAACAATGGGGGAAGTCGTCCATTTGGGAATGTGCAGTTCCGTATTGGTGTTGTATTCCATGGGTCCATTGAGTGTGTGTATCACGGGCAGACCAGTCCAGTTGGCGACGGGATACCCGTGATAGGTGGGATCCTGGCTTTGCACTCTGATGCTCTCGTCGATCCATTCGGCCGCGTGCTTTCCCGAGTATTCTTCCCATTCCAATCGGTTCTTGGCCGTGACGACAGGATGGGTTCCAATCTCCATAGCCTTGGTAATGGCCCGTAGTTTGGCCGTACGAACGGCAAAGTCCGGGACTGCACGTACATGTACCGGTAGATAGGCAGGGGTGAGTACTACATGTACAAAGCATTCTCTTGTGACTGAACTGTAATGTACATGTACATGCACGGTACTTACGAGTGACAAAGGGGTAAGTACTGTTGGAGAGTCTGGCGTAGGATACCAGCCCCAAGGCAAAGTTATCGACGGCTCCAAGGGTCAAGTCAATGTTGCTTCCGATGGATTCAAAGACTTTGGTCGAGTCATCTTGAAACTGCTGATCAAACTCTTGTTCCTCAGCATTTCTCGTGTAAAAGTACACAATGAGCGCCATGGCCAGAGTGGACAACAACAAGACCAAGACGACCACCAACCGAATGCCAAAGACGGCCTTGTCTTCTTTGGCGCCAATCTTTTCTTCTCCCTTTTGCAGTTGTTGGTCAGTATTCTGAAGCTGATGACTGTGATGCGTCGTCGAATCCCAATCGGCAACCGAGTGGTCCTGATAGTGAGGGTCGTCCATTCTTTGATGATCTATCTTGACTATATGATCATACGATTATGAAAGCAAAATTGTGGAGTGTTGACTTAGCTATGCTGTTGCTTCGGCTCTCTCGATCTCTGGACCTTCTTCCTTTCTTGCTGCTGCAACTACGAGTACTACCGGTAGCTAGCTAGTACGATGTATGCATAACTGAATTTGGTCTTCAATTGGAATGTACCGGTTTGTCGGTACGTGTACCACCAATTAATTTGTAATGACTGCTTCCGACACAGATGATGACTGCTTTCAGCACTTACTTACCTAGCCATTAATTAACACTTAGCTTCCGTGACCCTCTTGGGTAAACCTGGTATTAAATCCCCCCCAAACCCTTCCAAGCTAGCCTTTTCTTCCAAAACTGCAGCTGTGTCTTCAACGCGTTTTAAAACGCAACGATTCCTTGGATATAAATAGGGCTGGGGTTAAAACATTGGTCTGGCGGCGATTGACGCCTGTCGTGGTTCAGCCACAACTCTTGCTCTCTTGGTTGCACCTGCCCGATATGGCTATGATGATTGACCTGGAGAGGAAGATGACATGCCACAAGCCCTCTGAACCCAAGAATTTCTTTTAGTGAAATGCTGCCTTTTCAGAATACCGGTAGAATTAAAAGTTCCTTGCTATTATCTGCAAGTGTCAATTTTGCTAGACTTGCTAGTACTCGTACTCCCTGTTTCTTCGCAAGGCCCAAATTGTTACTTCATAGGCACTGAACCGTGAACTGCTCACGATAAATGCTCGCATAATGGTTGGTGCAACACCACGGTAGAGAGCCCGGATTCCTCGAGATGCCATGAGCTCTTGGAATACCTGTCGCCCCTTCTTTCGATGTGGATTAGTATTGGCATTGATTTCTAGATTCTGGCCTTGCACTCCAGCTCTGACACAGTCAACAGGAAAACTGCAGAGCCATGCCATTGCCCCCGCTGTGCCACCAGCCAGTGGGACTGCCAGCTCTGGGCGAACTGTGAAATAGTTGTTTTGGAAGCCATTGCCAGTCAGTGTTGCCTTCAGACCTTCATAGACATAAAAGTATGCACAAAGGTATGCTGCATCTCTCAAGGTTGTGACTGCCAGGCCAGTGAATAAAGTATGTACACCGTGAACTTTGGAGATTGTTGTAAGACAATGCCATGACCCATGATATTGTTTCTTGCCGACATTGTCCATTTGCATTTGTGTCTGCAGTCACAGTACCGTACAGGTATTAGTAGCAAGTGATGGTCCATAACATTTTGGAAATATTCCAAAGTGAAGAAAGACAAGAGCGATTAGTTAGAAAACCCTGCCATCCACACAGCCAAATGCATGCAATACAGTACAGTGCAACACATACCGTACCCTAACCACACCTTCCATGGTGGTAACCCAACTCATGACAGGAGCGGTTACGCCAGCAGCAACTGCATTCCGTACATCCCAACCCTTTTGAGCCCCAACTTTTCGTCGTAGCCATGTATAGGAGCCAAATGTGGTGGAGCTCAAGAACGAAATAGATACCAAGGGTGCCATGAGTCCTTTGAACAGACCTCGGATTCCTTCATTTTTTAGAATGGAGACACTCATTCTCCACATGGTAGGCGATGTACCTGGCTTGTAATCCTTGCTTGCCACTTGCATTCTTGTCTTGAGCAAATCAAGAGGGTAACCAATCACAGTGCCAGTGACCCCTGATGAGAAACTACAAGTAAAATTGAGAAAATAAATGACAAAATGAGAAACGGATTGCTGTGAGAAACGAAAGGCCACTTCTACCTAGCTAGATAGCACTTTCTTCCATGGACTTTGTCGACATACCCCGCCACAAAGTTCTCAAGTACTTCAGTCGTTCCATGATGTTGCTGTTGCTGTTGCTGTTGCTGCTGTTGAGATGGGACACTCTCCTTTGTCGAGGGTGAGTTGCTCATGGTCCAATGAGTTTTGTGGCTGTGGATCAAAGGAAGCAAGGATCCGGTCGTTGGCGAATTCGCGTGTTGAAAAGGTGTGAACTTGAACGCACAATTTCTCTAATTTAATCAATATCCTTCCAACTCTACTGTCTAGTAGACTGGCTATTCGTTTCGTTTTCTCTTTCTCTCTCGTTCGTCAGATTGTGAGCTCTACAACTACACTGAGCTCCGATATGCATACATATACCAGGATCTTTCGATCTCATGCTTCTCGCAGTTTCATCTACAGATAGATCCCGTCGATCTATCTTCCTGAAGTGCATGGTTGGCCCTGGAGGGCTTTCCACTTTACTAAACCTATGGACCTTCATCCGTCCATTCATTTTGCTCCATCCCGTCGCTCTTGCATTCATCTCTTCGACTAACTTCCTAACCTTTGAAGTTGCATCATCTAGACGACCATTGTCTCGTTCCTCATACCCTGGCATCTGATGATGATCGGATAACCATCTGATTTGAGTCACACATCCCCAATTACGAACCGTGATTGTGGATTCCGAGTCGTCTGTCCGTCATACGAAAATACCTTTCTGACCCTTCCTGTTTTCCCGAATGATGGCAGCGTACCTTCTTATCAACTCAAACCCAATTGCTCTTTGTCTCCTGTTAGTTTCGGGCATGTTTGTCGAGGGTCTCGTCGTTGACATTCTTGGTTCTAATGTCGCTCACGTTGTCTTCCGAGCAACAAAAATCAATCTTCACTAGCCGTCCTGCTGCATTTGGTCACGTAGTGCCACCTCGTATCCATATGCCTTGTTCGACTTGCACTTGTCTTGTTCTCTGAACATTAAGATAGCACCTACGTTATCGATCTTCACTTGCACAGGTAGTTCACGTTGATCTGTAAGGAACTTCAGAATCTTGACCGCAATGAACGGTACTTCTCGGACTGCTTCCCACACGCGTGAACTCAGCTTCGGAACTTGACAATGCTACCACCTTCTGTAGCTTGGACCTCCAGTGATTGAGCAACCTTCGAGAAAGATCATCATGGACGTGACTGATCTTCTGTTGTTCTTGTCTCCGGCCCAATCCGAATCCGAGAATATTTCCAATTTCCACGGTTCTTCGTTTTCTCTGGTCTCATCAAATGTCCACGGTTCCTTGGTCCCAACACGAACTTTACACAACGTAGCATTTCTTGTACGCTGCCGTGCGTTCGCTATCCCAAGAACTTAAGCTAGCTCTCGTACCGCGTTCGAGATTTTCTGGCCTGAAATGCTGATAAGGTACATGAGCATGCCTTCTCCTGTTCGAATCTGCTCTGTTGTTTTTCAGCGATCCATTCGCTCTTTCGTCTGTCTTTACTATTCCGAGTCCAGGTGTTCCCGCAGTCCTTGTACTTGGGTAGCTTCTGCTACCTCCTCTCCGAATGGGTTTGAATCTTCTTAATCATGTGGGGTTGTCCCACCCATGCAGCATCCTTCGGGGATTCATCCGAATTTCACAGCTCAGGTATCCGTGAGTTCGTACTCTATGGCATGTTCAAGCCTCGATCTTTAATCCCTTGAAGCACTTCCTTGATGTCGTCTTTCTTCTCCAATGGTGAGATTGTCATCCACGTAACATATAATCACGCATATCTTCCCGATTTTGTTCCGCATGAAGAGGCATGGATTCACTAGGAATGTAACGACTCCTAAGTCTTCCAGACCCTCGTCAAACTTCAAGTAGTAACTGTCGTGCGCTCTGGCAAGCACCATAGTGGTCTTGTCCAGTATGACACATCCGTCGTCTTGGTGTTCTAGTCCTTTTGGGCAGTCATGTAGATGACTACGTCATGTCTCCATTAGGAATGCTGTCTCAATAACGAAGATAATTGCCTTCGCTCTTTCCATCTTCTTTAGTAGTTAGGATCAAGATGATGCGGTAAGGTGATGTCGTTAGCCCCGGACTGTGATGTTGTAAAATCAATTCCGGGTACATGATGTAGCCGCAGGCCACCAGTCTAGCTCTGGATCTTCCATTCCGCTTGATTTCCAGCACCCATTTGTGTTTGACCATCGTCTCCTTCCTCCATTTTTGATCTCTTGATCTTGCACCAGACCTTGAGTTTCTCATCTTGTCTAGCTTGCCTTGATCGCCTCCCTCCACTTCTCTCCTGAAATGGTTCCGGGTGGTTCCAAGCTTCCTCGAACGTGCTTGGCTTGGTGAACAGATACTTGTACTTTGCTGGATCCTGAGTCCTTGGGTCATATGCGAGAGTCTCT